TATGTGTGTACACATGTGGGCTGCAGTGCATGTGTGGAGATCAGAGGACATCCTGTGAGAGTTGATTCATTCCTTCTACTTTGTGGGTCCCAGAGATTGAATTCAGGGCAACAAATACCTTTACCCACTGAGCCACCTCACCAGCCCAGTTGTGCTTGTTTAACTCAGAAAGGTCATCAAGGGTTGGTTACTATGGCACTTTGAAAAATATAAACAGCAAGTGCCATTCATGGTATTTTCAGTCAGTAATACAGTCAATATCAGTCTGTTTTTACAGTTGCCACAGTTGTAGTTTTATGTTTTCTAATACATTTATATCTTTTATTAATTAGCACATTATATTGATGTTTCAAATTTTATATGTGCAGTAGGAAGTTGTGGTTGAATACGAATGGTCCCCATAGGCTCATCTATTTATGCTTAGTCACCAGGAGTGGAATTTTTGATTGGATTAGGAAGTGTGGCCTCGTTGGAGGAAGTATGTCACTGGGGGTGGGCTTTGAGGTTTCAAAAGCCCGTGGGAGGCCCATTCTCTTGCACTCAAGTGTGCTACTTCTGGATCAAGATGTAGCTCTTGGCTCCTTCTCCAGCACCACACCTGCCTGCTGCCACGCTCCCTGCCTTGGTGGTAATGGACTAAGCCCCTGAAACTGTAAGCAAGCCTCTAATTAAATGCTTCTATAAGAGTTGCCTTGGTCATGGTGTCTCTTCACAGCAACATAACAATGACTAAGGCAAAAGTTTGCTTTTCATTCTAAGAAGGATGAGGGTGCATGGGAAATATTTACAATAAAAAGTGGGTAAAAGGTATCTGTTAAGTGTTTAGGATGGAGACTTAGGCCTACTAATCTAAGCAAGTCCTTTACTACTGAGCTGCTTCTTCAGCCCACATTTATTTTTGCAGTGCTAAGGATCAAAACCAGAAGTTGGTGCATAGTAAGCAAGGAAACACTTCACTAAGGTATATTTATAACCTCAAAAATATCATAAACCCAATAATATCATTCATAGAGAAGACAAAGATCTGTGATTATCCATATTAGCTGAGCAACCAAAGGGAAAAGGGGGTAAAAGGCAATTTTCCTTATTATATCAAGATACTTATTTCATCCCTTATGGCAGGCAGAATGTGTAGCAGGTCTGTCAAAGCGGCTACATCTCCATGTAAAATATAAATATTGGGATTTTTTTTTTTTTTTTTTTTTTTGGTTTTTCAAGACAGGGTTTCTCTGTGGCTTTGGAGGCTGCCCTGGAACTCACTCTTGACCAGGCTGGTTTTGAACTTATAGAGATTCGCCTGCCTCTGCCTCCCAAGTGCTGGGATTAAAGGCGTGAGCCACCACCGCCCGACAGAAGTTGTTTTTTTTTTTTTTTTTAAATCATTGTTTTATTTAGTTTTAAGTTTATGGCTATTGCATTCATGTATGTCTGTGTGCCGCATGCATGCCTGGCACCCACAAGAGACTAGAAGAGGACTTCAGATTCTTTGTAACTGGAGTTACAGACACTTGTGTCATATGGATGCTGGGAGTTGAACCCAGGTCCTCTGGAAGAGTAGTTGGTACTTTTAACCCCTTCAGCCATGAAGCTTTTTTTTTTTCCCGTATTTGTTTACATGTGGACATGAGCCTGTGGAAACCAAAGGTGTTGAATCCCCGTGGAACTGGAGTTGTGGGTGATTATGAGGTACCTGGCATTGGGTGCAAGGGTTGAATTTGGGTCCTCTGCAAGTGCTCTTAACCACTGAGCCATCTTGGCAGTCACAATAAGAGCTCTTGGTCAGTGACCACTGCTTCAGACTTCTGTCAGCTTTGATGCCCTCTTGTCCTTCCTCCACTCAAAGGCATTTTGATACAACTATCCTCCACCCCCCTTAGATTAGGTTAGACCTCAGTCTTCATGGACCAGGAAACTGCTGTAAATTTTCCACTGGTCCCCATTGACTCCCAGAATGCCTCATAACATGTATTGATCAGGGTTTAGGGGAGCCAGGCGTGATGACACACATCTGTAATCCCAGGCAGAGGTAGGAGGACTGGGAGTTCTAGGCCATCTTGAGCTATGTAGAGAGAGACTATCTCAAAAAAAGAAAATACAAATACATGAAAGCCAGCCATAGGTTCTACATTGTCAACCCTTTTGGGAAATTGTTCATCTTTGGAGGTGTAGCTCGGTGGCAGAGCATGTGCCCTGGCATTTGTTTCGTATGGCACTGGGTACCATAACTAGTACTGGAAAACAAAAGTCTAAAGTCCAGTGTGGTGGGATACTCCTGTAATCCCAGCATTTGGGAGGTGGCTACAGGAGGATCAGGAGGGCATAAAGAGTTCTCAGCCAGCTGGCATACATGAGACCCTCTTTCAAAAAAGAGTCTGTTGATCAAATCCCAGCCTGAAGTTCTAACCTGGATGCTAAGATCCACAGCAGACATCATTTCCACCCCTGTTCAAGTGGTGCTAGAGGCTGACATGCTCAATTGCAGTGATAACATTATTTCACATCCTGAGTGATTGAACTGACATTGGTCAGCAGTTTGCAAAAGATTGATGAGGGGATGTGGTGATACATTATTTATGATTTATTCAAGCTTGCCTGAGGATTCAGAAGGCAAAGTCAGCCTCCAGCTATAGAGATCAGGAAGTGGTGGTACACACTTTAATCCTTGGACTCAGGAGACAAAGGCAGATAAAATTCTCTGAGTTCAAGGCCACCCTGGGCTACACGAGATTGAATCAGTCTAAAAGAGTAACAGAGCTCACAACTTTAATTCCAGCACTAGAGAGAGAAAAAAGATAGGAGCAGGGTCTTCAGTAGTTAGTCTCATGATTTTCCAGCCACAATGAAGAGAGTATGGGAGTCTGGGAATGCAGTCTGAGGTTTAATGGACCCAGGATTACCTTTCAATCTAAGGTAGAGGTAAGAGCTAGTGGCCATTATCTGTCTCTAGGTCTTTTATTTATCATGTTACAAGGGGGTAGCACTTATTACTCTTATGGAGGACCCAAATTCAGTTCCCAGCACCCACATCAGGTGGCTCACTGACTATATGTAGCTCCAAATGAGAGAATCTGATGATATCTGCACTCATATGCACATACCTCTCCCCACACACAGATATACAAATCTAAAGATCAGTTATTGGGGGCAAACATCATAAATGTATTTGTACATGTTATTAAAGGAATTAAACATCAATTAAAGATTTTAATGTTCTTTTATGAAAAGAAGGTGTGTGTGTCTATGAGTGCTGCTTACTCAGATGGTGGCATGGGCATACATCGTGGGGCTCATTAGATATCTTCTCCGTGTTGGTCTTGTCTTTCCACCCTGTTGGATACAGTATCCCTTTGCTCTATAAGCCAGATTATCTGACCTGCATACTTTTGGATACTGTTATGCCTCTGCCTCCTGTCTCCCTGTAAGGGGGGGGGACCCTGTATACTAAAATAATCTTCCTTAGCTAGAGGCCATGTAATTTTTTTTATTGAGACCCACTCTGCAAGGTGAGGCCTTCCCAAAAGTGCCACCCAGTCAGCCTAGGGGTAGAGGCAAAAATTTGTTCTGCGGCTTCCCGGTAGTCCTATCTTACCAGAAATCCATTAATTTCTGCCAGGGTTAAGGTGAAGGCATAGGAAATTGCCTGTGGGATTCAAGAAGGGGATTTTAGACTAATTACTACTATTCATCTTGTTGTTGCTCCCTCCCCACCATGCACACAGGTAAAATCTTTAGTGTTTTACAGCATATTGTCACTTGGAGTCTGAATTCACTTATAAAGGTTCACATATAAAAGGTTCTTCAGTTGAGTTGAGTTTATTGTTCTGAATATTAAGAGATGCATTATATAAAGATCTCCCTTTCAGAGGTTAGGAAGGTGGGATATACCGTCAAACAGCCTGGGTTTACTTCTCAGACTGTCTTTAATAAAATTGGATGACAGTGTTTTAAATGCAGTTCTTGACACTTAACAGGTATTTTCACCTTGAGCCACATGATAAATATTGGGAATATTCTGACCTTGACATAGGAAGTTGACTCCAGCATTAGGTAGCTCAAGCTGGCCTTGAACTTGACCTAAGGGCTAAAGATACAAGTATGTATCACAATGCCTGGTTCTGGAATCTCTGAAGATTCTTAAAAGTAGTTCTATTATTTGTATAGACAGCTACCTCTTTTTAATAAAAACGATATGGATGATTCTAAGGGGCTAGCTTGTCCAGATACTGAGAGCAGGAGTGGAGGCAGGAAATAAAGTCAGTGTGTTAGGTAAGGGGAGAAACTGATCAGTAGGCATGGCAAAGAGTTTTTAAATTAAATTTTAAACTTTCTAGGAAAGGACCTAGGCAAAAAAAAAAAAAAGCATAAAAATAAAACTTAAGCTTTATTTTTGTTTATTGGACATGAGGTCTGATGTGGCCTTGGCTAGCCTGGAACTCACCTGCCTACAAGTGCTGGGATTAAAGGTGTGCAATAACATGCCTGGCATAACTTAAATTTTAAATCAGTCCCGTTCTGAGAATCTTCAGCTGTGGTTTTGAGAAAAAACTTTTTATTTTTATTATTTATTTATTTATTTTTGAGAATAAGAATGGACATGAGTACTTAACACCATGAGGCTATGCTATGACAGATATAAGTGTCTCGTCAGTGAAAAATGTTGAGAAATTTGGATGTATTTCATTAGGATTAACAGCATCTGCCAGGTGGGATGAAAGGGGAATTGTGGATGACACTCAAAAGTTTGGTTGGTTGGTTGGTTGTTTTTTCAAGATAGTGTTTCTCGGTGTAGCCTTTGCTGTCCTGAAACTTGCTCTGTTAATCAGTCTGTTCTCAAACTCAGAGATACCTGCCTCTGCCGTCCAACTGCTGGGAATAAAGGCGTGCACTGACAGTCTTGGTACCTGGAAATCAGTAAATTATATTTTTTGAGAGTGGCAGAGTGAAAAGTAATTTAAAGATGATATCTGGAAAGGTTACTAATTGTTACTTCCTCATTACAGGTTGACATTGAATGCTTCAGATCTGGTCACTATGGTCCGAGAACGAAAATGCATATTGTGCCACATTGTGTACGGCTCAAAAAAGGTAACAATGAAGAGAGAGGAGCTGGTTGGTGCCTTATGGCCAGTTTGTTTTTGAAGACATCTTAAAAATAATTAAAATTGGATAGTTAGAAGTTTAAGTTGTTACAAGTTTGTTTTACTATGCAATCCTAGAACAATGTCTATGTACTTTGACCTCAAACTGTGGTGATCACCTGCCTCAGTCTTCCAAGCCCTAGGATTACAGACATGCTGTCTGTCATACTGCTTATGCAGTGCTGGAGAACACATCCATGGTCTGTGCATGTATGCAAGCATGCTACCCTCTAAGTTGTAATCCATTCTCAGCCTGGGTGAAAACATTTTAACAGCATCTTATTTATGCTCCTCACCCCAAATCGGTCTTATTCCATGAGTTTTGTGTGGGGTTTTTTTTTTTTTTTGCCATTAATGTTTCAAAAAGCCAGTAACTATATATTAACCTCTACCCAGAATTTAGGGTACTCAAGGATAAATGATGTAGAGAACTTTAGCTAGCGATCAGTTTAAGAGAAAATATCTTGAGGTTTTAATACTTTCTGAAATTTTATTTTATATTGTCTACCCCAGTACTCCATGTGTACTAGGAAAAACACTCTACCTCTTGAGTTATATCCTGTCTACAAATCATATACTTTTTGGTTCACAGATATTTAACAAATATTGGGTTTCTTATATGCATTTGATTTTTTTTTTTTTGTATGTCCAGGCTCGAGAAAAGTACAGTGCAGCCAGGTGTGGTAATGCACACCTATAATTTAATACTTGGGAGCAGAGGCAGGAAGATCTTGAATTTGAGGCCAGCCTGGTCTCAGACAGCAAGGTATAGTGTAGCAAAAGTGCTTAACAGTACCCTGAAAGTCCACAAGATGGAGCAAATAACAAAATCGGGGTGGGGTGGGGTGGGGTGGGGATGACAACAACAAAAAACCCAAATGTGTAAGGGGAGTACTGTATGCAAGTGTAGGTGAGTTTTCACATCCCTGGCTGAGCTTTTCTCTGTGGGTGCCAAAAATTCAAGCTCAGATCTCATACTTGGGCAATAAATTGAGACATTTCCCTAGTCCCTGAAAAACAAGTTTTTTGGTATTTTAAACAATATTTTTAGATTTATTTATTTACTTTTATATGTATGAGTATTTTGCACATATACGTACGTACGTGTGTGTGTGTGTGTGTGTGTGTGTGTGTGTGTGTGTGTGTGTGTGTGTGTGTACATAAATACATACATATCATGTACATGCCTAATACCAAAGAGGTCAGAGGACAATGTTGAATCCTCTGGAACTGGAGTTATAGGCAGTTGTGAGCTGCCATGTGTGTGCTGGGAACTGAACCTGGATCTTCTGGAATTGCAGCCAGAGATCTGGTGAGTCCTCTCTCTAACCCCAAAACAAACTTTTTTAAAATACAAGAATTTGCTTGTGTTTCAGGAAAATTGGTTACAATTGTGTTGGGAGGGGGCTTTTTTTTTTTTTTTTTTTTTTTTTTGCCTTTATCCTTTTCTTTAAAATAATAGTTGTTTGTTTCTGAGTTTTTGTTCATTTGTTTGTTTTAGGTTTTCTTTTTCTTTTTTTCCTTGAGCATCTCACTTTGTAAATAGCTGGCTTGGAACTTGCTGTGTAGATCAGGCTGGCCTCAAACTTGCAGGGATCCTCCTACCTGCTTCCTGAGTGCTGAGATTGCAGGATGTCACCTTGTCTGGTTATTGATGGTGTTTTAAATTCTGTATTCTGTCTTTAACTTGATTTGGTTTTCAGATGTATTTTGTTCACATTGATGACAATCACTTACAGCTAGAAAGGGGTCACTTGTAAAGCTCTGTCCAGATGATGCTTTTGTAAAGACAGAAAGAAAACAATCTAGTAAAATCACCATTTAAAGGCAGTGTTTTGAAACAGGTGTCCTCTTTATCACACTAAAGCAACAATGGGCTGTGGAGTAGTTACACTGTTACTGACAAACGGTATATGATGAAGAAATGCACTATTTACTTATATTGTAACATGATGTTTGGTGTCAGGCCTTCCTGGATTTGAGTTGGAGCACTTGATTGTCAGTTACTTCAATGCCTGGCTCTGAATGTAGGGCATGAGAAGAGGAGTACCTGGTGAATTAAAGAGTTAACTTCTTTGTCTGTATCCATGAGTCCTTATGAAGTTAATACTCAATAATATTTTGTGGTTTAAGTGGGAAAGTGTTTGTTTTTCAAGACAGGGTTTCTCTGTGTCTTTAGAGGCTGTCCTGGAACTCACTCAAGTAGACTAGGCTGGCCTTGAACACACAGATCCACCTGCCACTGCCCCTTTTTTTTTTTTTTTTGGACAAGGTTTCTCTCTGTAGCTTTGGAGGCTGTTCTGGAACTCACTCTATCAGCTTCTGGCTCTCCCCTCCCCCCTTCTCTTCCCCCCTCTCCTCTCCCCTCCCCCCAGTGGTGGGATTAAAGATGTGTGCCACCACTGCCTGGCTATTTGTTTACTATTTAAGTTTTTTGAGATTTTTATTTATTTTTATGTGTATAAGTGTATTGCTGGAGAGTGAGTATGTCTGTGCACCGTGTGCATGCAGTGCTTGAAGATGACACCAGGTCCTCTGGGACTGCAGTTAAAGATGGTTGTGAGCTGCCCTGTGGCTGCTGGAAGAGCAGCCAGTGCTTTTAGCCATTGAGCCATCTCTTCAGCTCCAAGGGAGAGGCTTTATTTTTCTTAGTACCTATCTATAATCAATGTAGCCAGCCAACCATATTCATTTCACTACTATGGGGGGTTTGTTTTGTAACTTGCTTTGTAAACCAGGCTGGCCTTGAACTCACAAAGATCTACTCGCCTTTGCTTCCCAAATGCTGGGATTAAAGGCATTCACCACCATCACCTGGCTTCAACAAATGTTAATATTAACAATTTATATGCCAGGCTCTGCCAAACCTAAATAAGAGTTACAGCTTATCCTTGAGAAACTTTCAGTTGAATAGGGACTGAGGAGATTGCCCAGTCAGAAAGTGCTTTCCATGCAAACATGAGGGCTTGAGTCTGGATCCTTAACATACAAGGCCAGTGGCAGCAGTGTATATCTACAATCCCAGCAGAGAAACTGGCCAGCCAGCTTAGCTGAATTGGTAAGCCCCCCATTTATTGAGAGACTTCATCTCAATGAAGTGGAGAGCCTGGAGAGAAGGCTCAGTGGTTAAGAGCACATACTACCCTTGCAGAGGATCCAAGTTTGGTTCCGGGCATCCACGTTGGACAGCTGTTAATCACCTTAACTCCAGCTCTAGGGGATCTTCTAACTAAACAGGCACCTGCATTCACATGCATGTACACTCATATACACATACTTTAAAAAACTAAAAATGAGTTGGAAAGCAACTCCACAATCACATACCCTTTTGTGTGTGTGTGTGTGTGTACATATATGTACACAATTGCAACAATATGAACATCTACATATGCCACATATACATAAAGTAGCCAAATAGTTTTAAAAGCTAAGTGATTTGAAGGACTTTTCAAAACATTTTATGTGCATATGTGTCCGTGTGTGTGCTTGTACACGTGTGTGCCGCAGTGTGCATATGAAGACAGGTTTTCTCCTTTCACCATGTAACCTCCAAGGATCAAACTCAGGTCATCAGGTTCAGTGGCAAGCCAAGCCATTATCTTGTTAGGTCCTTGGATTTTTCTGTGTAGTCCTGGATGAACTAGAACTCCATGTATAGATTAGGCTGGCCTCAAAACTTTTGATGGTCTTTCCTTTGCTTCCCAAGTGCTGGGATTGATGATTCCCAGTGGTATGATGGGCAGGTTTGGGGGCTTTCACCAAGTGTTGAGGTTACAGTGTGGGCACCACACCTGACTGCTCCCTTTCCCCAAACTCCAGTATATTCTTTATAAGGAAATAGAATTTAACCTGTATTCTTCATTCTTAAGTCTTTTCCTTTTTATTTTTGTTCTTTTGGTAAGGTTTCTTTCTCTGTGTAGGCAGTCCTGGCTGTCCTTGAACTCTAAACCAAGCTGGCCTCAGACTCAAAGAGATCCACCAGCCTCTGCTTCCAGAGTGCTGGGATTGCATCACCACCATCCAGCAGCCTTTTCCCTTCTAATGCCAATACTTATAACCATTTTGGGAAACCAATTAAAATACCTAAAAGTTACTTTTCAAAAATGATAACCAGCTGTGGTGATGTGTACCTATAATCCCAGCCTTGGAGATAGAGGTAGGATGACCAGGAATTAGAGGTTTTTCTCAGTTACATATGAGTTTAAGACCTGCCTGGGCTGAGACCCTTTGCCACAGAATAAAAATAAGCATGGAATATAACCAGAGAATTATTTATTGTGGAACCAATGTTGATTTTAAATTGAGAAGAGTAATCACAAAACATTTTGGCACAGGAGTTTATATCTAGATTGTTGATTGAGTATCTACAGAGGAACTCCACTCACCCTACCCCTGACAATCCCCTTGGTTAATATGCTTTCTGTTTTATTTTGAAGGAGATGGACGAACACATGAGGAGCATGTTGCATCACAGGGAACTTGAGAACTTGAAGGGCAGGTAATAAAAACATCTCTCTTCCATAAATTTGCTAATGTGGATGTCTAAGTGCTGATGGTGCCTGTCTGCTTATCATGAAGGCTGTTGTCTGATAGTATTGAATCATTGCTTAGAATTAATAACAGTAGATTTTTTTGTGCATCTCACTTCTACACATGGGTTGATTTAATAACGTTGAGCTGGCATGATCTGGCTTTCTTACTCACAAGATGACTCATTTCTGCATAGTTGCCTTGCAGCTACTTTCTGTATTTTTGCTTTAGCAAAATTAATTGTAAACTGTAAACCTTTAGTCTTTCTGAAATAGCGTAGGAAATGCACAACCTCTAAGCTGTATTAAAACTTATTAGTGTCTGCAAAACCAAATAAAAGACCTTAAGTGTTTTTTCAGAAGGCTCTGTTAATGATTTTAAAGCTTAAGATATTTAAAAGGTTTGAAAAGAAAATGTGGTATGTATATGTGTATATTCCATGTCTTTTTTTCCTGTGTGTCTTCTTAACTAATGTGGATTTGAAGTGTAGAGATTAAAGGTAACATTGGTAAATTCAGAAATACAAATTATATTTTACTTCATGAATACTAATGTTTCTGCAAAGCTGCCACCTTACTGTGTGATATTAATGTTAACTTTATTGTAAGTCTTAACAGGTTTATCTTGTGTCTATAAATTAATGTGCTGTTATTAGACTTTAGCATATCATTAACATATAAGTGCTAATGATTTCGTCTGTGATGTGTGGTGGTTATGCTTTGTGGCAACAAAAAAAGGGCTTCACTTAGACAGAAGTGGATGTTAGCTGTTAAGTCTTTGATTAGCAAGCTACAATCTGTGTAGCCATAGAGGTTAGGCATAGAATAAGGGGATGGATCTCCTTAAGAAGAGGAAATAGAATAGTGCATGGATAGGAGGGTCACATGGGGGGGAGCATTTGAACTTCCTAAAATATATACATATATGAAGGCAACATAAAGGATGTGGTTAATTTTGGAGCGCATTCCATGAGGTGCTGAGAAGAAGGTATATCCTTTTGTGTTTGTGTGAAATGTTCTGTATATATCTTTAGGTCATTTGGTTTATGGTGTCATTTAACTATAGCATTTCTCTGGTTTTTGTCTGGATGACCTATCTACTGGCAAGAATGGGCAAAGTCACCCAGTATCACTGTATGATGAGCAATATTTAAGATGTAGTTAGTATTTTCTTTTATGAACTTGGGTACACTTGTGTTTGGTCCATACATGTTTAGAATTGCAATATTCTCTTGGTGGATTTTCATTTAATGAGTAAGTACTGTCCTTCCCTATTTCTTCTTTGGTTTGAAGTCTATTTTGTTAGACAGTCCATTTGCTTGTAATACCATTTTTCTATCCTTTTACCCTAAGGTGACAATGTATCCTTGATGTTAAAAGTATGTTTCTTGGATGCATCAGCAAGGTGGATCCTGTTTTTGAGTCCAGTCTATTAGTCTTTGCCTTTTTATTGGTAAACTGAAGCCATTGATGTTGGAGTTCCAGTTATTTTGTTGTTGTGTGGGTCTCCCCCTTTTGATTTCCTGGTCTGATATGTATGCCTTGTGTTTTCTTGGGTGTGGTTAGCCTCATCAAGTCAAAGTATTCCTTCTAGTTCCTTCTGTAGTGCTGGATTTGTAGATAGACGGTGCTTAAATTTGATATAGTTGAGTGCCTTTCTTTCTTCATCTATTGTGATTGAAGGTTTTGCTAGATATAGTAGTCTAGGCAGGTATATAGATCATCTGTCCAAGCTCTGCTTGCTTTTAGAATCTCCATGTAGAAGTCAGGTATTTGTTCTAATAGGTTTGCCTTTATATGTTATTTATTCTTTATCCTTTGCAGCTTGGAATATTCTTTCTTCATTCTGTACATTTAGTATTTTGATTATTATGTGTTGTGGTAAGTTTGAAAGACCTGCAGAGCATGGACCTTCACGCTCCCACCAGAAAAGGTGACACCCCAAATCACTCAGGAGAAGCGGTCTTGATGTAAAATGCATGGGGTCTTTTATATTCCAAGTGCACTGGGGCCCACAGTCATACTCCACACAGGGGTAGAGGACTGAGGACCTCGAGGGCAGAATTGAGACAGTTTTTGTAGTGTTTATAACAAAGCCCACACATAGGTCACTGGAGTAGGGGTTTCACAAGCAGTTTACAAAGTCAGATAAGGGGTTAGCTCATTTTCTGTTATCTTACTAGGCCAGGATTATATACTCAAGGGCCTGTCTGTGGTAAGCAGCAAGGAGTGTGACCATGTCTATTTACTGGCAGAGGACAGGGTCTGGAAATTTGAGGTTTTTAGGGCTTTTTAGATAGTATTTCTAAACGTTTAGCTTCCTGGGGTCATTGGAGCGTTAGGCTGTATTTTTCATTCTTTCAAGTTCTTTTCTAGTCTATTGTCTAGTCTATTTGGTGTTCTGTATGCTTCTTGTACCTTGACAGACACCACCTCCTTTAGGTTGGGGGAAATTTTCTTCTGTTATTTTGTAGATATTTTCTGGGTTTTTGACCTGGGTTTCTTTTTTCCTCTATGCTTTTATTTGTAGATTTGGTCTTTCCATAGTTTCCCAGATTTCCTTGAGGCTTTTTGATTGGAAATTTTCTTCGATCAAGGCATCCACTTTTATCTTGTCCTCGGTGTCTGAGATTCTCTTGTCTCTTTTGTTCTGTTGGTGAAGCTTGCCTCAGGTTTGTTTTCAAGTTCCTAGACATTTCGCATCTAGTTTTCCTTCGGTGTGGGTTTTCTTTTTATTCTATTTCCACTTTCATGCCTTGAACTGTTTTATTTCGTTCCACTGTTTGCATTTTCATTAATGGATTTGTTCATTTCCTCTTTAAGAATCTGGAACATACTCATAATAGCTATTTTGAAGTTTTTGTCTTGTGCTTCAGCTGTATTGCATTACTCAGAGTCTCGTGTGGTAGGGTTGCTGGGCTCTAATGGAGGGAGACATACTGTCCTGGCACTTACTGTTTTTATGCTGGTAACTAGGCATGTGGGTTTGGGACGACTTTAACTCTAGGTGCTGATATCTGGACTTGTCTTTGTTGGTTTGTGTTTGTTGCTTGGTTTCTGTTGCCTCTCTGGTTCTTATGAGTGTTGTGGTGGCTATGGGTTGCCTGGTTAGGAAATGCTGTAAGGAGTATGGTTTTTCCACCCGCCGCCTGGTCTTGTCCCGCCGCTGCGCCAGCCCCAAGTAATGCACAGAGACTCTGAATTTGATATGATGCTGTTGGCCAGGTACTAGTTTCTTATTGGCTAGCTCTGCCTTAATTATTAACCCATTTCTATTTATTTCCAAGTGGTCTTACCAGGGAGAGGTAGCTGGCGGTTCTGCCTCCTTCAGACTCTCCATCTTGACCCCTCCTCACTACTTCCTCTTTCCTCCTTGTCTCCTAGTCCCTCCTATCTTCCTTTCCTATTGGCCAACAGTGCTTTATTCATTAACCAGTATGAGAAACATATATACATAATGGCATCTCCTATCAAAATGCTTCTCAGCTCTGCAATCACTGGGAGTCCAGGGGAGAACATGTTTCTAGGTATTAGAGTTTGACAGTAAGGGATGGGCATGGACTGATGGTGGGAGAGTTGCTGTTACTGAGAGGGTTCATAGGAGGGAGGGCAGCTGGGTGTGCCACCAGGATCTGTATGGAGGCAGAGAGGCCATAGCAGGTGGGATGCTGCAGAGCTGGGACTTAGCATTGGAAGACAGGAGGAGCTTCAAGGAATGCCCCAGCCAGTTCTCTTAACCACTTAGTTATCACTTAAAGATTCAGATGATAACAAATATAATATCATAGAAAGTCTGTTGGGCCAGGTGTAGTGGCACACACCTTTACTCCCAGGACTCAGGAGATAGATACAGGAGGGTCTCTGAGTGTTAAGACAGCCTGGCCTACATAGGGAGTTCCAGGACACCCAGGGCTACACATAGAAACCTTGTCTCAAAAAGGGGGTGTGGGGAGGTTAAAGTAAGACCTACCTCATTCCTCTTTAATAAAATCCCATTCTGTCTTGCTGTTTCTGAGTCAAGAGTTTCACTTCTTAGGGATATGGACATCTACAAGAAAAGGCTTTGAACTGCAATTCTACAAACTGTATTCCCTCTGATTAGGTGCCCCTGACGTGGGTAATCTGTCTATCCTACCCGAACTTTACATGCATTGAGTTTTAGATCTGTACACATGTGCTGCTCTGTAACTTCCTTTCCTCCTGTAAATACCATCTTTAGCACCCTAACTTATTTTATTTAGAGGGAAGTCATTCCTATAGCTTTCCTCATATGTTAGGTGCAGCCATAATAAATTGCTAGCCTTTAACAAATAAATAGCATGAAAAACCAGCTGATCAGTTTTTGAAAAACCTCATGAAGTCTCAAAAATGATTTGTTGACTTGGAGCATTATTTTAAAGACAGTCATAACTGGTTTGTGCCTTAGAGACAAATACTTATCAATGATTGTTCCTTTTCCCTCTTAGCCTCAGTATATGACCATTTCTTCTGGATTTCATGTTTAATTATTGTGTTTACTGCTGAATTTTACTTTTTAGTTGTGAACTTATAAAGAATTATAAACTACTTTATTAAGTTTTGTATTCAGTCTTGAAGGCAAGCTTGACCATATCGGTTGGTTTTCTTTGATTTCTAATGAGGGATGTGGGGTATGTGTATAATATAAGCAGTTTCTCCAGATAGAAGCTCTGAAAGACTCAAGCCTTTATTTATCAAACAGCTGTTGTGGTTTAGTTAGAGCAAGCTTAATAAGGAAAGGCTTATGCATAGAGTATCCTAAGACTGTCTTTTGTGCATGAGGGGAAATTGTGTGGTGACAGGATGAAGCTAATTTGGGCCCTTCAAACACCCTGAGGAAAATTACTGCTTTTATTAGCCATGGCACAAAAGCAGTGCATTTTGTCCGTAATACAGTTTATGCAGAGTTTTTAAGCTAGTTATTAATGTGTAATTCAAATCCTAATTTGTCTTAATAATAAAAACCCAGAGCCAGATATATAAATGCCGAAAGATCAGAGAAACAAGGGAGCAAGCCACAGCCACACCTTACCTAGGCAACTCTTTAGCCTAAAAGGGTGCTGAGTTCCTGTCTCCACCCTACTTTATCACTTCCCCTCTCCACTCCTCCCAAGTGCTAGGATTAAAGGTGTGTGCCACCACTGCACAGCTTCTATGGTTAACTGGTGGCTAGCTCTGCACTCTGGTCTCCAACCAAGCTTTATTTGTTAGAGCACAAACAAAATAATTACCCCATTAATAAAGAATTCAAAAGAGGGATATTGATGGCTTGAACATAAAAAATTTCTCTGCATTTTATAAAGTCATAATCAGCAATTTTGAAAAAATTAAGAGATAGTATAAAATCCAGTAGAATGAGACAATTGGTATGGCAGGATCCAGTTTAGCATTTTGGATATTAAGTAGAAACATAGGTGAAGACATTGGAGACTGTTTTTTCTAACTAAAAATGAAGTTGGTTTGGATTTCAGTTACAGTGTTTGTACGGTATTTGCCTTATAGTCTCCAGATTCTTCTTGTGTTGCCCATTACAAACGGATTCCTGTTTATATTTTAAACTTTCTGTGTTTCGGTGCTGATACCCACTTAGAATGAGTTAGCTTCAATTTAGTTGTCTTAGAGAACTTTATTCTTGATAAGCTGAAGAAAGTAGGTAATGATTCTTCTTTGGTTTTGTTGTTGTTTTGTGGGGGGAGGGGTGACAGGGGCTCACTATATAGCCTTGAACTAATTATATAGCTCAGGCTGGTCTTAAACTCACAGAGATTTGCTTGCCTCTACCTCCAGAGTGCTAGTATTTAAAGGCATGTACTGCCACACCTGGTCATGTTTAATCTTTAAATATACAGGTGCAGTTAGTAAATAGTGCATTAAAGTATTATAGGATGACATGGACTATTGAATTAAGGGTAACCAATTGATATTTTTAGGGAACCTCATCATAACTCTTATTTAAAGATTTTTAAACTGTTAGCATTTGTGCTACAAAATACAAAAAAAAAAAAAGTGTAAATTTTCTACAGTTTTAGATTTTCAGAAATTCTTACAGTATTGCGAAGCCAGGCAGAGGCAGGGGGATCTCTGTGAATTCAAGGCCAGCCTGGTCAAAGCTACACGGAAATTCTCTGTCTTGAAAAATCGAGAGAGAGAGAGAGAGAGAGAGAGAGAGAGAGAGAGAGAGAGAGAGAGAGAGAGAGAGAGAGAAACAGCATTGGCACTGGAGAGATGCCTTAGCGAATAGAGGTTAAGGGCACTGGCTGCTCTTCCAGAGGACACGAGTTCAAATTCCAGCACCCACATGACAGCTCACAACTGTCTGTAACTCCAGTTCCAGGGGATTAGACAACACACAGACATACATGCAGGCACAACACCAGTGCACATAAAATAAATATTTTTTATTTAAGAAAAATAATATTTGAGGGAGGGTCTGAAATTTCTTTTTTCTCCTCCTCTCCTTACTCTTCTTCTCTCCTCCCCCCCAGCTTCCCTCCTCCTCTCCCTCCCACCCTTTTTGAGACAGGGTCTTCCTGTGTGGCCCTAGCTGGTCTACAACTGCTTTGAAGACTAGGCTGGCTTTGAACTCACAAGCTAGTGCTTGTGCCTGCACTAGCTGAATGCACGTCCTACTATTGTGATACATTTCCAGCCTGCGAGTATTGCTTTTTCTCCCCTAAAATTTGTTTTTTATTTGTTTGTAAATACATATTTAAGTAAATATATGCCATGTGAGAACAGGAACCCACAGAGGCCAGAAAAGGGTGTCAGACCCCATGGAGCTCATGGGTCCTCTCATCTCCCCGACCCCACTATTCCTTTTTAAAATGTACCAGGCATTGTTTTACAGTTTGTAACTTTTCGCTGTGCTTGGCATTTGGTAAGGTGTGTGTTTAGTTTAAATGGACATTCAGGTCATCTGTAACAGAAACGGTTTTGTATTAAATGAAATGCTCAGTTTCAAGGATCTCTTGTTAATTCTTATCAACTCTTCTTATTTTGTTTTAAATTCTGGGATTTGTTTTAAAGGGAGGGGCAGGTATCTGTGTTTCATGGCATGTGTCTGTGATGATTTATTTATCTACTTAAGATAGATGTAGACACAGATTGGTATAAGAAGCACATGTTTCATCACTATTATAAACCTACAACACAAGATTCTGGATTAAGTTTTAATTACTGGACAGCCACAGTTTGCAGGGTTCTCAGTGCCTGAAGAGTAGACAGTTGACACAGTCAAAGGATTGCAGGAAGTTTAAAAATCGTTAAATTATTGAGCTGCTACGGGTCTGAAGAGGATTTAAGATTTTGCTTAAGACTGGCCAAATATGAGGTTTACCATTGTGTCAAGTAAAAGAGAAAACAAATAGAAGCAAACCAGTCACCCAGTTAGTTCAAGGCCAGTTTTGCTTGTATCTGCTCTGCAGCACTTTCTGAAACATGAGAGAAAACATTTGCCTAACACAGCTGTTAACTTCCTACAACTGACAGGTTTTCTGTTCCCTTTAAAATGAGGCCTACTGAAGCAGAATGTGTCACACGTATCATCCAGATTAAGAACATTTGCTGGGACTACTACTGTCATTTGCCAGGGTCGGAATCTTCACATTCCAGGCAGAACGCCAGCTGTTCCAATTTAGTTACCAGAGGGAGATTGGCTGTTCCCCCTGCTCTTTGCTCCACCCCCAGCCTTCACTGGAAGAATGCTTTAGAGCTGGGCATGAAATGGAAGTGCAGTCTCCAGGCTTTCTGAGTGCCCCGGGCACCATGGGTGCGGCCCAGAGCAGCTTACATTTGCTCTGAGCCCCCTGCCCTGCCTCCCCTTTCACCATGTTTCCTCTGGAAAGATTTTAAGTACAGCAATTCAAGAAGATTTTTTTTTCCCCAAATCTATTAATCTGAAGCCTGTTGCCTCTTGATTGCTGGAAAAGAATCTAAAATTTATTACAAGTAATCTATAAACAAATTTACTAAAAGTGATGAAAGGAGCATTGACATTTATTAGCACTATTTTTTCACTGTGCCCAATTGTGCAGTGTCTTTCAGAGGAAACTAGCAATCTGGTGGTGTGCCATGCCAGTGGGGAGAATTGAATGTCCCTCATCTCCCTCTTTTCCTAGGGACAGTAGTCATGAGTGCCGAGTGTGCGGGGTCACAGAAGTGGGTCTCTCTGCATATGCAAAGCACATTTCTGGCCAATTGCACAAAGATAATGTTGATGCCCAGGAAAGAGAAGATGGTGGAAAGGAAGAGGAAGAAGAAGATTATTTTGACAAGGAACTTGTTCAGTTAATACAGGAAAGAAAAGAACAAAGTCGGTAAGTCATTTTGTTTATTTTTATTTTTTTGAGACAGAGTCTTATGTGGATGGTTTATCTGTCCTGGCGATGAAACTCTAGGGCTTGTTGTAGCTAAGAAAACTCTCTACTAACTGAGCTCATTCTTAAAGAACCCAAAGCTTAATCTTATCGTCTATATAGAGTTTTGTTTGCCTTTGCTATATAGAGTTTTGTTTGCTTTTGCTATCTGGAGACTAAGGACTATGAAATGCTTTCCTAAACTGCTGTATTATCTGTCCTGAAACTCAGTCTTGTTTTTAAATAAGCTGACTAATAGAGCTACAAACCTAAAACTATAGTCTTGTTCACTGTGTGTGGAACTGTTATTAGAATCTAATTTTCTGCTAGAAAGCTGTAGAGTATAATACATAAGCATCATTGAATAGACGTTTCATCTGTTATTCATCTGTGTTATTATTAAGTATTTTTTTGTCCAAATGATATTTCTTGGGGGAAAGGATTATCTGTTGTAAATTAACATGGTGCTTCTGCCAAATTTGAATTTTACCTTTGGAGTTCTAGTGACTACATAGTGTCCAGTTCACTCTGGGTGTTTCTATAAATACTGTTTTAAATTTGACAATGTCAAAATTAATAGAGCAATTTAAGTTCCCTAATTCGTAAATTTATACCTATATTTACATATTTGTGTGTTAGGCATTTGTGGTCTTGATTTTTATAGCCTTAAGGTTTGTTTTTTTTTGTTTTGTTTTGTTTTTTTTTGTTTTTTTTTTTTTTTGTTTTTGTTTTTTTTTTTTTTTTTGCTTGCTCTTAAATGAGCCAGGCAGTCATGTAGCCATGACTAGTTTCCAACTTGTTCATAGAAAAAATGATTCTGAACTTCTGTCTCTGTCCCCTAAGGTGCTACAGTCACAGGTGTGTGCTGCCACACCTGTTTTGGGCCTAAGGAACTTACTTAATGAGGCAGAAGATATGAGAGAGCAGTTAATGCAGTTTTTAAAGTCCTAACATGATGAGAAAATTTCAAACTCTAAAATAAATTTTTAGAGATTCTTCTTGAACATTAGACATACTCTCACCTTTTTTATGTCAGAGATATATATAGGTAGCAAATATATAGTTTTATCCTATATATTAACATTTTTAAAAAAGTCATTGAAGAAGACTTTCTTAGTCTTAAAATGCCCATGGCAACATGATTGTTGAACCCTTGTGTTGCTTAGTTCTGATGCCATTCTCATGACTACATTAACAGCTGTACTCTGCACGTCTGTTTTAGGAAGTTAATTGGGTAGGACATTTAATTCTTTTTTGGATGTTTGCTTGTTTGTTTGTTTGTTTGTTTCAAGACAGGGTTTCTCTGTGTAGCCCTGGCTGTCCTGGAACTCAAGTCTTTAGACCAGGCAGGCCTTTGATCTCACAGCTCTACCTGCTTCTACCTCTCAAGTGCCGAGACTAAAGGCGTGTACACCACCACTGCCAGGGTATAGGACACTAATTTCTAACAACTAACAACAAAAGTATTGTTAAAGCTTAGCTATGGCCGGGTGTTGGTGGCACATGCCTTTAATTTCAGTACTAGGAAGGCAGAGACAGATGGATCTCTGTGAGTTCGAGGCCAGCCTGGTCTACAGAGCGAGTTTTAGGACAGGTTCCAAAGCAATATAGAGAAGTCCTGTCTCAAAAAAAAAAAAAAAAAAAAAAAAAAAAAAGCTTAGCTATGTAAATCAGAGGCCAAGATTGGATTCTGTTACCACGGTTACTGTTGTTGGGTCATGCCCTGTGGTGACACCGTTCTATAAGATAATGCACTTCTTGTACTTGCTGACTTATTGAAGCAGGTCTCTTATGTAGTCAACTCACATTCTTCTTAGCCCTGGCCAAAGTGCCAAGATTACAGGCAAATGCTATCACATCAGCATAGATGAAGTTTTAGTTTTACCTTGTGAAAAAGGAACTGATTTATATTCGGCATACTACAGGCATTAAAGGCCAGCTATAATGGCGCTGTCAAGACAGCCAGGCCATGGTGGCACAGGTCTTTAATCACAGTACCGGGGGAGTCAGAGGCAGGAGGATCTCTGAGTTCCGGGACAGCTAGGGCTACACAGAGAAACCCTTCCTCAAGAAACAAACAAAAGAGCTGTGAAGATAGTTCTGTGGGTAGAGAGATGAACTTGCAGCCAAGCCTAACAACAATCTACATCCAAACCCCCAAACCCACGTGACGAAAGAACTGACTGCCATGAATTGTTTTCTGATCTCCACACATGGACCATGCCATGTGCACACACACTCATCAATCAGTGTTTTGTTTTGTTTTGTTTTTTCAAAAGGCCAGTTAAGGTCAGCTTTTAAGACGTAAGTCAATGTTGAGGCTGGTCTTGCTCCACAGTTGTGGCTAGCCTGGAGCACACTACATAGACTAGTCTAGCCTCAGAGTCACAGAGAGCCACCCATTCCTGCCTCCCAATGCTTTGATTAGAAGTGTGTATTACCATGCCCAGACATTTTTATTGTATCAAGGCCCGAGTGGTCAATATAATCTACAGTCAGGATTCAGGGTTTACTCTACCCTTTGTGTTTGTATGACTCTGCCCCTCTAAATGTGAGCCTCTTCATTTAAAAAGTAGTAGATATGTGCCTCTTGATGATCAGAGTTCATTGAGGTAATCCAAATAAAATACTTAGCATTAATGAGTTATTATACATGAAGTATTTAGCAGAAACAAAATGAATTTTAGCTCACGTTATTACCTGGTGTTTTGAGCAAGTGTCACATGCTGGGATGTTAGCCACACCATGAGCAGTTTGTAGAGAAAAGGGTTTGACATAGTGCTGTGATGTGCAAGCATACTCCTTCTGTGGAGCCCTTATGTCTCGAATAAATAGCTTCTCTGTAAACTGCCTCTAGCTCATCTGTTCTTTATAGCCTCTTATGGGGCTACAAACAAACAAACAGAAGATAGTGTAAATGTGTCCAATTTTTAATATTTCTAGGATGAAGGGGATGGTAGTCTGATAGGTTACAGGTGTAAAAGCAACCACCAGAAATAAAATGGCCCCCATTCTGTAAGAAGAGGAGAGAGTTTGGGTGGGTTATGCCTTTAAAAGAAGAATATTTAAGAGGTTACAGGTGTAAAAGCAACCACCAGAAATAAAATGGCCCCCATTCTGTAAGAAGAGGAGAGAGTTTGGGTGGGTTATGCCTTTAAAAGAAGAATATTTAAGAATTCCATTAAATCCATAATGACAAACTTATTTTTCTTTCAGACAAGATGAGCCTTCCAGTAACAGCCAAGAAATAAACTCAGATGACAGGCAACCCCAGTGGAGACGAGAAGACCGAATCCCTTACCAAGACAGAGAGAGCTTTAATCAACCAGCAAGGCATCATCGTGGACCTCCACCACGGGATTGGAAATGGGAAAAGGATAGCTTTAATAATACTAGGAAAAGTAGCTTTCCACATTCTTTGAGGAATAGTGGTGGGCCAAGAGGGAGTTCTGGGTGGCATAAAGGTGCTACAAGAGGCTCTTCAACTTGGTTCCATAGTCATAGTAATTCTGGAGGAGGTTGGCATTCAAACAATGGAATGGTAGAGTGGAATTATAATAGTGCAGGAAGGAATTCCAGTTGGCATTCTGAAGGAACAGGTGGCTTTCCCAGCTGGCACATGAGCAACAGTAACGGAAACTGGAAATCCAGTGTACGTGGTACAAATAGTTGGAATTACAATGGCCCTGGAGACAAATTTCAACAAGGAAGAAACAGAAATTCTAATTATCAAATGGAAGAAGTGACTAAGCTGTGGAACAAGAAGTCTAATAAGCCAAGCAAGTACAGTCAGGAGAGATACAAATGGCAGTGGCAAGACAGTGACAAAGCTGGTAAATACAGAAGCTCTTCTGAGGGGTTTGCAAGTGATAAATTTCCCCCAGAAGGCTTACTTGAGTTCAGTTTTGAGCAGCGAGAAAGTCAGACCACTAAACAAACAGACACAGCATCAAAAGTTAACGGAAAGAGTGGCAACATAGCAAGGGAAAAGTTCCGCCGCTGGACACCTTACCCTTCCCAGAAGACTCCAGATCTACAGTCAGCCCTGAAAGAAGTCACTGGCAACAAGTCAGAAATGACAGATAAGCCTCTCTTTAATTTTAGCTTAATAACTGCTGGAATGCAAGAGCCAATTGATAAAATAAGTAATCCCCCAATGCTACAAACACAAAAGGAAATGCTTCCTGGATCTCCCAGTCACAAAGCTATTCCTGACGGCATTGCTTTCTGTGAGGTGGTGAGAGCTTGCCCCATTACTGAACAGTCTGAACCACACCGTAAGTCAAATAAGATTCCATTATTGAAATCCCCACTCCTTCCTCTTCCAACTCCTAAGTCAGGCCCTCATAAGCATAATTTAAAGAACCGCACAAAAAACAATGAAGCAAAATCCTTTTCTTCTGGAGATTGCTCACATCTCTTGAAAAAGTCCCCTTTAGAAGGCAGCCATGGTTCTCCTTACACATCCAAGTCACACGGTTTGTGTTCCCGCATTTTAAAGGGGAATAAAACTGTGTCAGGTACTGGAAAAGAGCCTGTTGAGAAGTTAAATGACACATCACAGAAAGCCCAAGAGGCATTCCAGTGTTCCAGGACACCTCAAAAGCCGCTCCTTAGCACGTCCAAAAGACCACAGAACTGTGCAAAAGAAAGTAGGATTGTACAAGAGCCAACACAAGACTCTGTGAACATTGAGTTTCAGGCCCATTCAGCTGAAAATGATGGTGCAACATCTGATCCAGAAAACCATGCCATAAAAAGTGGAGTGGTGGCTTTGGAGACTACAGAAGCCGAGTCCTGTAGCACTCACACTGTGGAAAAGGAACAAGGGAACCAGATCCTGGGAACATCTGGGACCCTTTCCTCCTCCCCACATAATTCCACAGTTCACCAGAAAGTGGCCGAGTTACAAGTGACAACAGCAGCTGGTCCACACTCCAGCTTACTGTTAGACTTGAAGAGCTCTCTAGAAGATGTACAGGGTAATGATCTTGTTAAACCCGATGCACCTTTTGAGACAGAAAGTTTTGAGGGCACTAGCTTGGATGCAGAGCTTCAAAAGAGTGATGTCAGTAATCAGCCCCCAGGCACACTCCTGCCTGAACTAAGTAAACTTGGTTTTCCTGCCTCACTCCAGAGAGATTTAACCAGGCACATTAGTTTGAAGAGCAAAACCGGGGCACATCTCCCAGAGCCAAACCTCAATAGTGCTCGACGTATTCGAAATATTAGTGGCCACCGAAAGAATGAGGCAGAGAAGGAATCAGGGCTTAAGCCAACCTTACGACAGATTCTAAATGCATCAAGGAGAAATGTCAACTGGGAACAGGTTATTCAACAAGTAACCAAGAAAAAGCAAGAGCTGGGCAAAGGTTTACCCAGGTGTGTGCCTCTTTCAGTATCTGTCCTTGCTTTCTTTTCAAGGTTACCACCTTTTGGCCTTGATTGAAAGAGAGTTTTTGTCCTACTTAATTAAATGTTTGCAGAAAATATCAATTGTAGATGTCTGCTTTAATCCAGTATCAAACGGTGACTGAACCCATCTGACACATGTGACAGTCTTTCCTGGCAATGCAGTTAAGATGGGGTCACACTTGAGAAACTTTGAACCTAGGAAAACACCATCGGAAATCTATCACTTAGGTTTAAATGGGACTAGAATGTGGTATGTTCACTTGAATCTTAATATTTTCAACCAGTGGTAAATTTTTTAATTGTAACTGCTCTTACTACCTGTCACTCAGCTGGTGGATACCTTTCTGTCTTCCTTGGGGATCGTAGAATGCTTTCTCTCAAGCTCTTCTGTCACATTTTGAGGTGTTATTCTCTGAGTGGTCAAGGAGTGTTCAACATAGGCTTGATACTTGAAAAATCATAATCTTGCAGCAGTATAAGTGTAACTCTCCAGGCTTGGGGTCTTGTTCTTGTTGATTTCTTTGCCTTGTTTTTCTTAGGCCTTTTGAATGATTCGTGGTATAATAAAGTAGGAAGCTTAGAGTCATGCTTAGTGGTTGTAAATGCTTAGTAAACTGGTTTCTTTGCTTTTAAAATGTTTATTGTAGAAGAAGAGCTCTACTTGAGGGGTGAAAACCCACAATTGTTACTGACTGACTTGCACTCTGGTAGCTGTATACAGTTCTGGTTTAGTGCCTATGACATTGTAGTGTTTGTTTACTTTTCTGGATCCCTTGTCAGAGTATACTCCTTGATAGCAGGAATTGTCCTCTGTAACATCTGTGTAATGAAACCTGGCACATTAAAAAGTGCTCCTCTCCCAACCTATCTGATTTGTTCTTTTTTTCTCCCCCCCTCCCTTCCTTTTTAAAGGTTTGGCATAGAAATGGTGCCTTTGGTTCAGAATGAACAGGAAGTCTTGGATTTAGATGAGGAACCTGATCTGTCCAGACTAGAAGGATTCCAGTGGGAAGGTGTTTCCATTTCTGCATCCCCTGGCTTGGCAAGAAAGCGAAGCCTTTCTGAAAGCAGCGTGATCATGGACAGGGCTCCTGTGTACAGCTTATTTAGTGAGGAAGGTACCGGCAAAGAAAATGAACCCCAGCAGAGTACTTCACTTAGTAACCCATTGAGTGCTGCTGCTCAGAGTCAAAAGGCGGCCATGTATCTGGAACAGGAAGTAGCACCTCTGACTCCCTCTGCCAGAACAGGTGAAAGGGTTGGAAACATTCCTATCCACCGGCGACATAGTACACAGTTACCTTCTGATCACGTGATACCTTTCATGCATTCGGCCAGAGACCTGCACAGCCAGGAGAGGTCTACACCATCGTTGGAGCGCCATGCCCAGGAGAGCAATGGAGAAGGAAACTCACTCTCATCAAATGCATCTTCAGTTCATGCAATCTCCAGCTTAGTGGATGCAGCCACTGACAGTAGCTGTACCTCTGGTGCCGAGCAAAACGATGGTCACAGTGTTAGAAAGAAGCGAAGAGCCACTGGGGTGAGTATATCCCTGTGCTTTTTTGTAAAGTATCTGGTGTGAAGACTCAGTTATTCATGAGAAAGGCTTAACTGATGTTTACTGGGCATCTGTGGTGTAGTTTCCTTTGCTCTGGAGCAGAATTATGACCCTTAACTTTGATCCTTCTGGTTCTTCTCACCTGAGTAGCTCCACTAAACTTAGATGTAATGTGATATGTATGTACAGTACCAGGAAAATATGAAGTCATCTCTAAAACTAGTCTCCTAGCAATGGTTCACCTAAGAATAGGTCACATATTCAGATGTAACTTAATCTGTTTTCATAGAGGCACTTGGTACTGCTGTATTTGTAGAGCATGTGCAAATGTTGGATTCATGGTTAAGCTGGGAGGTGTAACACTGAAGAGATTTGATTGTATTAGAGTGCATATACATAAACATTGTGTAACAGTTTTCTAGTCTTTGTAATTGTCTTTTGTGTTTAGTTACTCCACCTGTTCCTGTTAGGCACTTAGCCTTCATTTAACCCCACCATGCTGCTCTGGCTCCCTGATGAGGATGGATGGTGGTTGTGGTGCCATCCCTGCCCCAAGGTCCGTTTCTGAAAAGAAAGCTGCTGGTGGTCATACTGTCTGTAATCTGGCTTCTGCTTCCCTAAACCAGAGAAGATACTGTTAGGTGGTTTTAAATGTTCTTGAATCTTGAGACGCACCCTTCTGAAAAGCCATTGCCTTGAGGTTTGCCTTGTAGGTGGCTTAGCTTCTGCTTGGAAAGACTTTCTACGGAAATTTAGAGTGGAGCCTGTGCCATGATGAAATCAGTAGAATGTCATTGGCTCTGCCTGTCCCATCTACGTGTCATTTCACCTAGGTGGAAGGCTCAGCTCTTGGGCTTTACGGCATCTAATACCAGAAAGCACTTGACCTTGAACTTTTTATTAGAAACATTAAGTCAACTCCTGGTTGAGTTGTACACAAGGCCTCTATTGTCCCCTCAGAGATGATAGCAAAAGGTAACATGACTATCTTAAAACTCATTTCTTTTTGTTCCTCTTGCTTAATGTTCTTTATATATTTCAATATTCAATTTCTTTCTTGTCAGGATGGATCGTCCCCTGAACTACCAAGTCTAGAGAGAAAAAATAAAAGAAGGAAAATTAAAGGAAAGAAAGGTATGACTATAGGATGCTATAGCAGAACAATTGTTGTTTTTACTTGTTTTGGTTTTTGTTCTTGTTTGGTTGGTTTTTTTTTTTTTTTTTTTAAGACAGGGTTTCTCTGTGTAACAGCTCTGGCTGTCCCTGAGTCTTAGATCATATAGACAGGAAATCTTGCTGGAATTTTCCAGTTGTAATGAGAAAGAAGAGGCCATGGAAATGTCCCTCTCACTTTTTCTTCCTTTGTTCTAAGGTTTCTTAACCTGTGACTCTGTGACTCAGACTAGCCTTGAACTGGGGTAGTTCTGCTTTCAAGTCCCAAGTGCTGGGTTACAGCTGGGAGCCCACTCACCTGGCTCCCCTTTTCATTTTTGAGGCTCCTTGTTTGTTTTTGCTAATGTAAATTAAGGAGTTTGTAGCAGAAAGAATAGACTCTGATTTAGATCTATTTAGATTTCTACTTGGTATTATCAAAACTAGATTTTCTTTGGGAAAGCTTTAATAAAGAGAACTGTGACGTTAGTCACAGAACAAAAAAAGTTCCTTAGCATATTGGGATTGCATCATCAAACTTCAAAGGCTTCTGTACATCAAGAGAAACATCTGGGATGAGTGTGGTGGCACGCTGGGGAGGTGGAGATGAGAGGATCAATAAGCAGTTCAAGATTATCAGATACATAGAGAGTACAAGGCCAAACTGGTCTATAGAGTCCCTGTCTGGAAAAATAATAGAAACAAACAAAAGAATTACCAAGCAAGAGTCTGTTTGAATCTCAGTAACAGGGTAGAAAACATGGTTTCAGAAGTCTGAGGCTCAGTCTTGGCCAGAGCCCTGAGTGAGGCACTCAACAGACAGTAGAAGAAAGGGAGACTGGGCCAGAACCATCTGTGTTCTAGGCCACAGATCTCCCCTAATGGATACAGAGGAAGGCAGTGGTCTCAAAAAAAACAGTAAGCTGGGGTGGGAAGCTGTAAGATCCCTGTGGTTCTTATTTTGATTTTTTTAGCTTTGATATCATCAGGTGTGGCCACATACTTTGAGATTCATGGGTCTCATTCATGTGTTGAGAAAAGACAAGTTCGTACTAAGCACATGTTTTTCTCTCTTTGAAGAAACTATTATTCAGCTGGGCCTTCTGCTTTGTTTTGATAGAACGTTCTCAGGTTGACCAACTGTTGAATATTTCCTTAAGAGAGGAAGAGCTGAGCAAGTCACTGCAGTGCATGGATAGCAACCTCCTGCAGGCGCGGGCAGCACTGCAGACCGCGTACGTGGAAGTTCAGAGGCTGCTCATGCTCAAGCAGCAGGTAATGGCTGCAGGGCTCTGGGGACACCGACGCGCCAGGGGCTGGATTCTAGAATGCTCAGCAAAGTGTTTTACTTTCAGATAAGTATGGAGATGAGTGCGCTGAGGACTCACAGAATACAGATTCTGCAAGGACTACAAGGTATTACAGCATGTCTGATGGCAAGAAGCCATGAGAGTGTGGTGTCACAAGTGTACGTATGTCTCACAAAGACTGGGTGGCCAGGCCTGTGATCTCTGCTGCTCAGGAGGCTGACACAGAAGGAGTGTGAGTTATGTGGTTAGAGAGTGAATTCAAGGCTTGCCCACTCAAAAGAGAGTAAAAAGAGTTGGTGATGTAGATTAGTCGTTCAGGGCTTGCATAGTATGGGCTAGGCCCCTAAGTTCAGCGTACAGTGTGCGATTACAGTGAGAGGGTGAGGAAGAGAACAGTGGAGATATTAGCCTTGGTTAGAAATCAGAAGAATTGAGTTCAAATTTTGGCTTCTGTTAGTAGCTCTATGCCTTGGATAAGCCACATTTAAAATTTGACCTTTTTTTGTTTTTTCCTTTCCTTTGTTTAATTTTTATTTATTTTTTGACAGGGTCTTACTCAGCAGCCCAGGCTGTCCCAGGACTTACGTAGCCTAGGGTGACCTAGAACTCCTAGCAATCTACCTTTCTCAGACTGTTGAATGTTAGGGTTTCAGGTGTGAACCACCCTTGCACTTTGAGAAATGTAAATGGTAAAGCTTATTGTCTCTGTGCCCTTGATACAGGTTAGATGTTTTGTTTGGACAAGTTAAGAGGGAAGGTGCTAACACATTATTAATTTAATTTTTGTTTGTTCTCAATTTATTATATAGTTTGTTCAGGCAGGTCTTTCAGTATACCCCTGATAATCCTGGAACTTGCTTTGTAGACCAGATTGGCCTCAAACTCACAGATCTTCCTGCCTCCGCCTCCTGTGTGCTAGGATTAAAGGCATGAGCCACCATGTCTGGCTAATTTTGTTTTGGGGACAGGATCTCATTGTGCCCATGTTCCCTTAAACTTAATAGGTAGCTGAGGGTGCTGCTGGACTCCTCATTCTCTAGGCTCTACCTTCCAAGTGATTATAGGCATGCTATAGCATGCCCAACTTAAAATTATTTCCTAATCTTTAAAAGTACATATTGGAAGCCAGGTATGTGACATGTGCCTTTAATCCCAGCATTGGGATGCTGAGACGGGATCTCTGTGAGTTCAAGGGCAGTCTGGTCTATATAGTGAATTCCAAGACCGCCAGCACTTCATTAGTGAGCCCATATTTCAGACAAAACAAAAAATTAGCTAAGAAGTAAATGGCTTTCCAAGTAACATTCTTTCATTTGTATGCATGTCTGTGTTTTCCTGTTACAGAAACGTATGAACCTTCTGAACACCCAGACCAGGCTCCCTGTAGCCTCACAGCACGAGAACAAAGGAACAGCCAATCTCAGACCCCTGTTGAAACCACACTGCTGCCTGCTCCCTTTTTCCCAGGGTTTCTGGAGCCACCTCCTTCCCTTATGTCTCCATCATCCATTGGAACCCCTCTTCAAATAACCACATCTGCTTTCCAAGTCCATGGTACTGTCCCTGACTCATCAGTTCAGATTAAACAAGAGCCCTTGTCTCCTGAACAAGAAGGGAATGTGAATGCTGTGCCACAAGGCTCTGCTTCCAGTGTGTCCAAGGAATTACTGCAAACAAATAGTAAGTAAGCTTTTCTCTGAGTTCAGGGTGTTCCTAAAGGACAGTTATGCATCACTGTGAAAGACCTATTAACGCAAAGTCACACATGGTGCTGTGTGCTGTTAACCAAGCACTTGGGAGCCAGAGGCAGGTGGAACTCTTGAGTTGGAGATCAGCTTGATCTACCGAGCAAGTTCCAGTCCAGCCCTGGCTATATAGTGAGACCTTGTCTCAAAAATATTCATTGTTTAGTTAGTTTTTTATTGACAGATACTTCAGATAGGAAGATTGTTTTCAAATACTTCAGAGAATGTGGGATAAGGAAAATGGCTCGGTTGGTAAAGATACTTGTCACCAAGCCTGACAACCTAAGCTTAATTCCTAGAATCCACTTGGAGGAAGAGAGCCTAGACCCCCACATGCACACCTGTGCTAACACACACAGACACACACACACACACACTAAAATAAATCTAAGTTCCTAAGACACTAATAAAATATTCCAGAGAATGTAATTTAAATTTCATTGTTCCTGATTTTGTCGGAGCTCAATGAATTGACATTTCTAAAAGGTTTCGTTTGTCCTTTGATACTTGGGTTAAGATTAGTTAGCCTATTTACTTGGTATGTGATGTACTCTGAATTTCTGAGCACTTATCTGCCTTTGTTACCTCAGATGTAAGCTAGGACTGATAAAACACCTGAAAGGCAAGTAGCCATGTTGGCCATGGGGTTCTGGTATTTACAGGTGTTAACAGGAACTTGTGTGGGTCAAGAAGTAGCCAGGCTTAATACTTGCCTGACCTAAAGTTTGAAAATAACTTCTTAGCTGTTTTCATTAGTACAAATCCTGTCATATTAAAAACTCAGTCAAAAAAAAAAGGCAAACAGTTCAAATGAAAAGGCTCAACAGACATAAGCTAGCCAAAGCAAGCCTGCCAACTCAAGTCTATCCCACATAAAGAGCTGCATGTGGTGACACAAATCTGTAATCCCAGAACTTGTTGGTGTGGGAGGTCAAGACAAGAGAATTGCTTGGAAGCTTACAGGCCAGCTAGCTTGAAGTATGAAGCACAGCAGCAGAAAACCAGAGAGCCTGCCTCAGTACACCCCAAACTTATCCTCTGACCTCCATGCTTACGCCATGGTAGGTACACACTACATATATGTACATACACCCTATAAAAAAAACAGTATGAAAAATTAATTCAGCTTTTGCTACTGGTGCCCTGTTACAGTGCTTACTATGCAGATACTAGTACCAAATGTCTGTGATCTGTCATATTGAATTTTAAAATATCTTTATGGGGTTAGTTTTTAGGTTTTTAGAACTATAATGTATTACAGCTGGTGAGGTAACTCAATGAGTAAATGCACTTAACACCAAACCTGAAAATCTGAGTTTAGTCCCCAGGATCCATACTATAGAAAGAGAATTGACTTCTGCAAATTGTCCTCTGACCTTAACACATGCCCACATACAAAATAAATAAATAAATAAATAAATAAATTTATACCATGAATTATACTGGCTTTTAAAGAGATTATTTAATAAAAATCAACTATGGGTACACACACACACTCACTGTTATATACTTCCTATCTTTTTTAGGGGGGAAAGCTGCTGGCGATTACGCAAGCACAATACTACCACTGAACTACAAGAGCTGTATTTTATTCTATCTTAAGCCATAAGTATATGTTTGTTTACATGTAGACTGTATAATGGAGAAATCATAGTTTACCATAATCTGACCTTTATCTATGGGAACTAGAAATTAGGTTCAGTGGATGAGATTGAGATCACTTACTCCTATAAACAGTGAGGGCTCACGGTTATGGGACACTACAGTAAGATGGAACACTGAGATAGAGTCACCAAGGCCATGCATCAGCAAGCCTGGTGTACACAGTGTATTGGCAGAAGCAGTAAAAGATTCTCTGCCTCTGTGCAAAGCAGAAAGTAAGACTAGCTCCCAAGAGTTGTCCTCTAACCTCCACACAAGTTCCTGGCCACACGTGCACTGGAACTTACTCTTGTATGCCCACGCATGTGCATACACACACACACACACACACACACACACACACACACACACACACACAAAGCAAAACCTGCATACCAGTTAAATATGTGAACATTCAAAGTAGAAGATCAGCAGACACAATCCCTGCACACAGAAGTTGATTTTCTTTTTGATTTCCTGATTTAGGAATGGTCAGTAACAGCCATCCAGTTAGCCCAGCCCTCCCTGCAGTATTAACATCAGGATCAACAGAAAGTTGCCAGGAGGCTAACCAGGGTCAGAATTGTTCTGTGGAGCAAGGAAGTTCCAGAAGCAGAGAAAACTCGCTCTCCTCTCAGCCTTGTGATTTTCCTGGCATAAATAGAGGTGAAGAATCTGCCAAAGGCAGCAGTGGCTCCGAAGCTTGCAGCAGCTCTTTCCTCAGGTTGTGTTTTACTCCTGAAACCCCTGTGGAGAAGGAAACTCACACTCCACCTGAGCAGCAGGCAGAATCCACACTGGCATCAGCTGAAACTAGAGGGAGCAAGAAGAAGAAGAAACTTCGCAAGAAGAAGACACTTCGGGCCACCCATGTTCCTGAGAACAGTGACACCGAACAGGACGTGTTTACTGCTAAACCTGCAAGAAAGGTAAAGACTGGAAAGGTAGCTAAAGGGGGGAAAGTAACGACCTCCACCTGGGAAGACGGCAGAACTGGTCAGGAGCATGAACCTGTCAGAGATGAGCCAGACAGTGAGTCCTCCCTGGAAGTCCTGGAAGTCCCAAATCCTCAGTTAGAAATAGTTGCCATTGATTCTTCTGAATCTGGAGAAGAGAAGCCAGACAGCCCATCGAAAAAAGATAGCTGGAGCTCCGCAGAACAGAACCCGGCAGAAGCTTCTCGTTCTGGTTGTGATGAAGTTAGCTCTACCAGTGAGCTTGGCACCCGCTACAAGGATGGCATTCCCGTCAGGTAAGGGTAGTTATCTCTGGTCAACAGCTGTTACTGCTCTTTCATTTCCTATATTTTTGTTTTCTGCTTTTTAGCGATATGGTTTTACTGGGCACCCCTGGCTACCCTAGATCTGTAGATCAGGCTGGCCTTGAACTCACATGGTGCCTTTGCCTCCCGAGTGCTGGGATTAAAGATGTGTGCCACTATGCCTGGATTCATGTACTCTTTTAAGTAGAATTTTAGAATTTATTTATAAAATCAAAATTTATGTGAAGGAGGTTATGAATAGGAAAAAATAAATCTTGGGAATTGGGTTTTTGGGGGTTTTTGTTTGTTTGTTTTATCTTTTGACTGTGTTATAAATTTCAAAGAAATTTCAGGTGGAAAATTTGATTCTTTGAATTAGAAAATTTTTAGTTTTGCCACCTGTCCTGGTTTTGCAGACGACAAGAAATTTTTGCTGCTGTTTTTCAGTGTGGCGGAAACCCAGACAGTGATCTCCTCTATAAAAGCATCGAAGAACTCTTCAGGTAATTTTTGTGTTTTGTTTACATAGCCACAGGGCAAGGGGTTTATAGAATTTAGAGGTTAAGTCAGTTTCAGTCTATTTAAATATATTCATGGAACAGGAGATAAAATGAGAAGTTACACCAAAGAGGGTTGCTTGGCTCAGTGACAAGTCCATAGGTCTTGGACTTTGCAAGGTGTAGACTTAATTAAGGTTGTCTTAGCTGGTTCCCTTTTCTGACCTCATTAGTTTTAAGGTTGTCATTGATTTTTGGGGTTGGAGGGGGTGGTTGTGGAATCTTCCCAGTGAAGAACTTTGAAAGTTCTGCTTGGGGAACTAAGATTTAAGAGAATCTTTTTGTGATTTAATTCAAGTCCTCTGGATTGTTGGAAGCTGTCTTTGTGGGGCTGCAATCAGAATCAGCCCCAAATTCCTACCTGGGTGGGGGTGTGTGGATGAGGGAAAGGGTAGCTATACATGATAAAGAAAAGACAGAGACACGGAATAAAAATCAGGAGGGCAGATCAGTCGATACTGAATTGTCACAAGTTTATTTTTCACCACTCTTATATACCTTAACCAAAAAGGGGAACATGGTATCGTGTTTATGGAACAGACTCCTCTTCCTCTTTACTCTAAGGGTTCAGTAACCACACCTTAGCTCCAACTTCTTGTTCCCTAGCCTTGAGGATCAGGAGTAGCCACACCTCAGACCAGGTCTGTTGTTATTTAGAATAAGACAAACAAATACCCTACTGTAGCCACACCTTTGACCTTTAGGTTTTATGACTTGCTGAGGACAGTTTTGAACTCTCTACCCTTGTGCTAAGATGGAGTGCAGCCATCTTTGTGGGCACTGACACTGGATGGCTTTAATTTAGTATCTCTTCAGACTGTAGCAGACATGTCCCTGAAATCTGTTTCTATTTCCAGAACTGTCATCAGAGCCAGGAGATGATGACGAGCCCACAGAAGGGAGCTTTGAGGGACACCACGCTGCCGTGAATGCAATTCAGATATTTGGAAACTTACTGTATACTTGTTCAGCTGACACAACTGTCCGAGTTTATAATTTGGTGGTAAGAAACGTTTTGAGTACCTTTGGTTGCAGTCTTTAAAACCTCACTTATGTTGCCTTTAACATAGTGGCTTTCCAGGGCTGTAGGCCAATCTAGATGGCAGCGAATCATCCAGTCACATTTTCCTAAAGTATATTTCTGAGAGGTATCTCCCTCTCTCCATTAGAAAAAGACGTCCTGTACTTTATTCTCTGAAACAACATCCATGGCAAAGGGAATAGGATCACACTAGTAGATGAGGGCCAGTCAGTCCCCAACCTTTACATTAGTGATAGAGTCAGTTGCATGATGGATTCCAGATGCTGCATAGTAGAAGAAGGATGAAATGAATCTTGCAGCATACTTGAGGGAGGGATTTTATTTGGTGATCAATTATAGAGTTCAAGTTCTTATAGAAAGTAACTGACACCTTTCCATGCCTCACCCTTAGTATAACTGAGCACTTTAAGATTTGAATTTCTGTCACAGCTAACTTTGCCCTTTGCAATGATTACCAAGACTTGCTTACTCTAGGTAGCAGGTATGAGCCTAGGGACATGAGAAGTATTGGAAATGACCCCAGGAAAAAGGCAGAGGTATATGAAGTATGAGTATATGTAATCCCATCACTTGGAAAGTAGAGACAGGAGGATCAGGAGTTCAAAGCTAACCTGTGGTACAAAGGCTGGAAGTGAGTTTAAGCTACATGAGTCTGTCTCTCAAAAAATAAGAAAAATCTAGGAAATTGAGTTTGATTTTTAAGTTGTGGGATACGTGTATGGATATGTATGTGTATATTCTAAATAGATCTTGTTAAATGCACAGACATAGCATCTAAGATAGCTGTTAGGAAACCATTCCTAAGCCACTAGGGCGATAGCAACTGACATTTTTAAATTGTTGATCATTCTCATAAGCTCGTAATCAAATGCATAACTTCTCTGGGCAATTAACAGCAATTTGGATTTGCTAGTTCCCTTGGTCCATATATTAGAAAAACTTGACTTAGGCCTTAAATGAAATTCTTTCCTGCCTCATTGTGAATCACCTAAGTATTTGGGGGTGTTGCTTAGTAAATATATACTTATAGGTACCTCGCCATATGTACTTTTCTTGGTGTTCAGTGACCAACTGTTTACTGAACACACTTTGTGTACTAAGCAACAAATTTGAGGTGAATATAGCAATGGTCTGGGAGTTTTTGCATGTTTTTACTAACAAAAAGGCATTGTCTAATTCTTCTAAATTAATTACTTTTCTACTCCTGTGATAAAATACTGTGGCCACAGTGTCTTCTAGAAGAAAGGGTTTATTTGGGTTTACAGTTCCATAAATACATAGGGTTGTGTTCCATAATGTCAGGATTACGAAACTCCCATCATGAGCCTCGGGCATGGAGCAGAGTGAGTTATTTGAAAGGCCATGAATCTTAACCTCTCAAAGCCTGTCCCCCTCTGATATACCTTGTCCAGGAAGGCCACACCAGCTTACCCTCCCCAAACAGCACCGACAACTCATGATAGAACGTTCAAATACCTGAGACTGTGGTGGGCATTTCTAATGCAAACTACCAGACCTTCTAAATCCTGTAATAATCTGACCTATGCTCAATTTTTAGAGTCGGAAGTGTATTGGTGTCTTTGAGGGTCATACTTCCAAAGTGAACTGCCTCCTTGTCACTCACACCTCTGGGAAGAATTCTGTCCTTTACACTGGTTCCAGTGACCACACCATTCGCTGCTATAATGCCAAGGTTGGTGGTAATATTGATCCTTTAACTATATTTTCTGTCATTATTCTCATTTGACTTTCTTGTTTTGTTTCAGAGTGTATTTTTAGCATGCTGATACCATCTTAGGTAGATAGAAGATTTAGCATAAACCACATTTTCTGTTTGTTCATCAGTATCTATTAATATTGTAATGTTAGCAGTATAGCTCCCTTGGTCTTTCTCATAAATCTTATTTTCATATCAAATGCCAGAATTTATCCTAGCTGCAATATTTTTAAATTTCATTTATTTACTTTGTGCATATATGTGCATGTGTCTTTGTGCATGTGTGTCATGTTGGGGGTGTGGAGGTCAGAGAATGACTTACAGAGTTTTTTCTCTCTACATTGTAGTCCAAGAGATCAAACTCATGTCATCAAGCATGGCTTCCTTCAGGAACCTTTATCTGCTGAGCCATTTCACTGGCCCCTGTCTATTTAATTTCTTTAAAAGTTAAACTTTATGGGGTAAAGTGCTTGCCTTGAAGAAAACCTGAATTCTACCCTCAGAACTCAGTTTAAAAAGCTGATGGAGGGGCCTGCTAGATGGCTCAGTGGAGAAAGGAACTCCCTGGCAAGCTTGAAGTCCAGCATTTAGATCCATGGGGTCCACATGGTGGAAGGAACGAACCGGCCCTGCAAGTTGTCCTCTGGCTTCCACACAGGGTATCATGTTCCAGGCTGGCATCAAATTGACAGAACTTCTGGTGCTCCTACTTGTACCTCCCAAATACTGAGAAACAGGCATGAGCTATCACACCCAGTATGATGTGCTGGAGATTGAACCCAGGGCTCCCTGACTGCTAGACAAGTACTAAGCCAATTGAGCACATCACCAATCTGCCAGATGCAGCTTTATCATTTATTTATCATTGTTCATTTAAGCTTAACAGTGAAGTCAGCCCTCTTAAGAATATATATACATTTTTAATTAGAAATATCAATATTATTAAGCTGTTTTTTTAATAGTACCCTCACACCCTGGGATCTTGAAAAATACCTCAGATAGTCTACTATGCTTCTCAGCCTCATTTTAAAGTGTTTTGAGGAGCATTTGTTCACACATCTGTCTCTATCCTCTGTTAGTAAGAGATTGTTTTGGGTTTGGGGTGTTTTGTTTTTTCAGACCCGAGAATGTATGGAACAATTAAAACTGGAAGACCGGGTTCTCTGCCTTCATAACAGATGGCGAATGCTCTATGCTGGACTAGCAAATGGCACTGTGGTCACCTTCAACATAAAGGTTAGTGGGGGAATAGGCTGAATTTCCCTGCCATTTGTAAGTAGAATGAAGGTATAAGGTGGGTTTCTTCTGGTTTGAGGAAACAGCAGAATTAGCCTTTATTTAAAAGCAGTTTCCTTCTAGTGCAAGTGAAGTCAATCCTCTGTTCTGTTTGCTCAGACTCACATGTGCCAGGACCAAAATGCAGCACTACTAAATTAAACCAAGCCTGAATATTTGGGCCAAATAATGAGTCATAGGTTAAACCAGTTTATCTCACTTAAGAGTGACACCATGGAAAATGAATCTGAGTTCCCTGACTTTTGACTATGATGTGGTTGGAGAACAATTTAGGGTTCATGAGGATGCCTTGTTTTTTGAGGGGAAATCAGAGGATTCCTCTAACAGCCATGCAACCTCCTCCTTTCCCATCCCAAAGATAAATTCATTCGGTGAGCAAACTTCACCGTCTTTCCTGTGTTGGGCCCAGAGTATCTTAGTTTCTTTTGTTATGACAAAATACCCCCAACATAAAGCAACTCAAAAAGAAAGTGTTTATTTGGCTGACAGTTCCAGGGTAGACCATTACTGAGTAGAATTCAAGGCAAGAACTTGAAGAAGCCACTAGTCATATCCATAACCAAGAGCAGAATGAGGTGTATACATGCATGCTTTGTGTGTTCAGCTCCCTTGCTTCACTTATGTAGTCAGGCACCAGACCAAAGAATGGTGTCCCCACCCCCTCCCCCTGTACTGAGTAGTCCTCGTCTCCCACAGACTTAGCCACAGGCCAGCCCATAACCTTCACTGAGACCCTTCCCAGATGATGCTAGGTTATGTCTAGTTGATAATTAAAAGTGTCATCACACAGAAGAAGAAGGTTAAGAAGCTCTTGGTGTCCCAATCAGTAGTAAGCTTACATCTTGAGACTCACTCCCATCTCTGCTTTAGAAAGCAAGGCTCACTCATATACTATGAGCCTTGGAGAAGACTCATAGTATAGTCAGGGAGATCTTGTAGGAAGCTTTGTGGGCAGGCAAATGAAAAGAGGAAATGAGAGCAATATGTAATGGACTCAGGGCTTGTGAGTGCGGCTGGTTATGGCACCACATCCCCAGGGTTTATTTAGTACAGCCAGTGTAGCACTGGCTGGGACTATATAAGGAATGTGATGTAACATAGTTTTTGCCTTTTAGAAACTTAGAAAATGAAATTTGAAGACTTGAACATGTTTATAATCAAGTGAATGATAAGTGCAGATTTTTTTTTTTAATTATAAAGCTGTTGGTCATTGGCTAGCTCTGTCTTAAATACTAACTCATTTTTATCAATCTAAGTATTTCCACATGGTCTTGGCTTACCGGGAATGCGGGACATGCATCTCCTTTGCCTGCTACATCTTTGTAGAGAAGAGAGTGATTTTCCTGTTTGTCCCTGCTTATATTCTGATCTGCCCAGCTTTCTGGGATCACATGATGACTCCTCTCTGCCTACACTTCCCAGAATCCTCATTGTCTCCTAGTCCTACCTATCATCCTGCCTGGCCAGTCAGTGTTTTATTCATCAACCAATAAGACAAACATATATACAGAAGAGCATTCTCCATCATCCCCTCTTTTCTTTCTAAATAAAAAGAAAAGTTTTAACTTTAACTTAGTAAAATTATATATAACAAAACAATTATCAAGTAAGAACTATAGTTATAATATTTAGTCCTTTAACATTTAGTAAGATTTTTTTTTTAAAAAAAGAAAAGATTCTGTCATCTATCCTATCTTTGTGGGTCTATTGTCTTATGTATAACTTATCTTTTAGTCTAAGGAAAACTATAATCATAACTATCTGTCTTGAACTCCATCAAAGACCACAGAAGAATAATAAAGAATTGACAGAGACATCTTACTGCCTGGACAGTCACCCGAAGTTCTTCTGTAATGTTGGGGCATCCATCTTCAGCCCATAGGTCTAGTGTGTCTGGCAGACTTCTCAGTGAAGCAGGAAATTTTAAACTGTCTACATATTGTGGCAGTTTGTCAGTCATTTTCCTGTGTCCTGCAGAATGTCTGGCAGACTCTTCCATGAAGCAGGAACTGTCCATCTTTTTTTGCAAGTTCAGCAGTCACTTTCCTGTGGGTCCTGCATGTCCACTTTATACAGCAATAGTCAAACAGTCTAGGCAAGAATTGTTTCTTGCTGAAATGGCTTGTCTTGCCATATTGAAACATACTCCATAATGAGTTTCTTCAATGCCCATCTTCCCCTCAGACGTAATTGGTTTTGCCAGGAGCATTTGTGTCTCATAGTCATGAAAAACCCTAAACCATTTTAAATGCCATATTCTATAGGTCTTTCAAAGGTTTGAAGAATGCCTATCCATTTGAAATATATGTATATATCTACAAAACCTAACAAACCTAAGTTTTGACTATCATAGGTGTCTATAATCTACTTAATTATACATTGCATTTTAAATGAGCTATATGAACACAATAACTAAACAAGAGGAGAAATACACATATAACAAAATTAATCTTGTTTGTATCAATAAGCCAAAATCCCTATCAACGTAAAATATTCATTTCTATGTCATTTCCCCTTTATATCTTTAGAAGGAGATAGACTGTGATCCTTAACCAACCCCATTTAAATGAAAACAAACATTTATAAACAACATTTAGGATTGTGGGAGTCGTTCTCTCCAAATTGCTTCCTGCTGTTTATACCATGGGGATCAGGACAAAACACAGAAACCTGGCTGCGTCCTTGTTTTTGTAGCCTGCAAGTCTGCATCGTCTCAGCTGTTTTAGATGCTGGATCACCTGGGACACTGCTTCAGGGGGTCTGGCTTTATCAAACCATATTAGTCTGGAAGGAATCCACAGCTTTATATTTTCTGTGGAAACACAAGGAAAATTTTTACCAAGTAACCTGCCCTTATACTTAAATTTTGAAGTCAAAGCATTTTCAAAATATATGTTGGATTAATTCAGCAGCATTTATAATGAAATGTATTTTAGCAATTGTAGCTCTTTTCTCAGCAAACAATTTAAAGACAACATTATAGCATACAGTATCTAGACTCTGTATTTTTTATCTTTACATGCTTTTTTTTTTTTTTTTTTTTTTAATGTATACAGTGTTCAGTCTGTATGATGTATCCCTGCAGGTCAGAAGAGGGCACCAGATTTCATTACTGATGGTTGTGAGCCATCGTGTGGTTGCTGGAAATTGAACTCAGGTCCTCTGGAAGAATAGCCAGTGCTCTTAACTTTTTTTTCTCCTTTGTCCATTTAGTGTCAGATCTACATTACAAACGGAGCATTTAAATGGTGTCAGATGGAAGAGTTTTAGATGGTTGGAAGAAGAGAGGCAGCCCTTTATGTGACTTTTTAATTATTCTATTTCTTTTTTTTTTTTTCATTTTCTGAGACAGGGCTTCTCTGTAGAGATCCACCTGCCTCTGCCTCTGCCTCTGGTGTGCTGGGATTAAAGGCGTGCACCACCACTGCCCAGCCACTCTATTATTTCTTCTCCTCCTCCTGTTTCATTTCTCCACAAGCCTATGTATATTTTTAGACACCGTAAACCTTTTAGAAGTTTCATTTCATCTGAATCTGTCTTTACTGTATATCTCTACCTTTTTCTAGCCAGGAGTCTTTTACACTGCTAAAATTAAAGCTGCAGCTGTTTTAGCTGCTGGCTTTCCAGGATGGCAGAGTTAAGTTTACCGCCAGCACTGGGAGCTGTGCTCACCGCCTCTGTCTATGCTGCCATCAAGCAGCATGCTTCCAGCTTGGAGATGTGGTCATTGCCACTGCCAGCTGCTGGTACACACCATTCAATTGTTAGCAGGGCCTCTTAAAACAGCCATGCAGTTTTTTCCATTTATGCTGAGTCAGGAAACCTCATTTAAAGGAGCAGCTTGAGTCTCTGCTTGTCTCTAGCAAAACCTAGCCCAACTGAGAAAATGATGTTACCATGAAGCCTTGTTTGTCTTTGTTCTTTTGTTTCTAAAATCCCTTTTCAAGTTTTAAGTTGAAGTTCTTAGTACCCACGTTGCCAGCACCATTATGTTACTTACATGTACTCTTTGCCACCAAACACCTGGGTTCCACTGCTGCTTTAGTCCCCAAATAACACACGAGACACTATAGTAATTGTAAAGCCATTGGCCATTAGCTATGGTTTCTTATTGGCTAGTTCTGTCTTAAATATTAACACATTTCTATCAATCTTAAGTATGTCCACGTGGTCTTGGCTTACTGGGAATGCGGGACATGCAACTCCTTTCCCAGCTACATCTCCACAAAAAGAACAAGTACAGATTTCTTAATTGAAGGCATGAGTTCCAGTCTCCTGAAGAGATAGATTTAAGCAATAGGAGTAGGACCTAAGAGTAAATTAAAATCTTACTTATAAAGGACAAAAACTCAGTTATAAAATTTTTTTCTCCTTTGTCCAGTTAGTGTCAGATCTACATTACAAAGGGGGCATTTAAATGGTATCAGATGGAAGAGTTTTAGATGGTTGGAAGAAGAGAGGCAGAGAACAGATTTCAGAATGGTTGCATAGGTGTGAATTTGGAACATCAGGGCTGTCTCTTTCCTTTTTTACCCATGCCTGTAGAAAAGCCAGACTGTCTGTCTTAAAGGTCAGTCTGTCACTCACGCCATCCTGAAATCTATTCTTTCCTTAGCATGTCAGATTTCTCAGGTGCCATCTGCTGATTTTTGCTTAATTTCTATGAGGTTTTACTTTCATGTATGTACCTACAATAGGAGTGGAGGGGGGGTGAGAAGCTTTATGAGCAAGATTGGCAAGCAGGGTAGAATTGATAAGGGAAGCATGCATGGAGTGTGAGGTAGACCCTGTTGTTGAGTTTGTGGTGTAAACATGCCATTCTTGATATAAATGCTGCTATTTTCTGTTAAACGACTTGATCTGGGGGTCCAGTGTGAGATGTAGGAAGATGATAGTAACATGAATGGGGAATTAAGTTTGTTTTAGATTTATGTATCTTATTTTATTTGTAAGAGTATTTTGCCTTTGTATGAGTCGGGTCCATCCCTGAGAGTTTGAATTTTTTTAAATGGGAGAGATGGTTCAGTGGTTAAGAGGACCGAATTCTGTTCCCAGCACTCACATCATGCTGCTGACAATACCAGTAACTCCAAACCCAAGAGAGCTAGCGCCCTCATAGCCTCCATGGGAACCTGAACACTCATGGTGTAGCACCACCACCCCCAGACAGACAAACATTCACATAAGTAAAAGAAATCTAGAATCATTTAAGAAAATGGGTAGCTCTCAGAGATTTTTTTGAAGTGTCATGAGATGTATAGCTTATCTTTTGGGGGACAAAACACAATGGGAATAGTGGTTCATGCCTGTCATCTCAGCACTAGGGAGGCTGTGGCAGGAGAATATCTGAGTTTTAGAGTAGTCAGGGCTGGTTACATAGTGAATTCAAGCCTTGGCTAGGCTGCTTAGCAAGACCCTGTTTCAAAAAAGAAAATAACTGAATGAGTCTACAGACGCCACTGGCAGAAACTACACTGGAGGTGGGTTGTTTTTTTTTTTTTTTTTTTTTTTTTTTTAATCAGAGTTGGGACAGTTTGAGTTGAGGGTATAAAATAGTTTGTAATGTATGAGTTTACCCTATTAGATTAGGGGAGTAAGGTCCCAAGCACCAAAGAAGATTGGAGCTGACATGCCAGGGATTAGAGTGTTCAGGATTTAGGATAGGTAGTAGATGTGAGTTTATAGCAGTTTTGGTTATCTATTTTTGAAGTTTTCTTGCTAAATTACTTTTATAGAATGTTGGTTTGTTTTTCAGAACAACAAGCGACAGGACATCTTTGAATGCCATGGCCCTCGGGCAGTCAGTTGCCTTGCCACAGCTCAGGAAGGTGCCCGAAAACTGCTGGTCGTAGGATCTTATGACTGTACCATTAGTGTCCGTGATGCACGGAACGGACTGTTGCTCAGAACCCTGGAGGGCCACAGCAAAACCGTCCTCTGCATGAAGGTGAGAAAATAGCTAGGTTTGAACAGCATTCCCACTACTGTGTGGTATGTTGTTAGGATCTTGTAAAGAGCATAGTCAAGAGATCACAGTCTCCTGTGCATGGGTGAAAAAGGGACCAACCATTTTTATCAACACTTGCAAGAAACATGTTTTATTATAGTATGGTCACATACTAATGCCCTTCTAGGAAAGTTCATAGCCGGTCTGTAGAGTTCATGTTCTGGCAAGTTCATCACAATGCCTAGTGTTAAGACATGCATTTCTAGTTAGAAAATTGGTCTGGGAAACATTATCTTATACATAGTTTGTATACATCTCCAAATAGGATGGAAATTCACATTTGCTAGTGTGTGTTAAAGTTATCTTGCACAGAAGCTGATTTGTTGACTTTCTCTAAGGTGGTGAATGACCTGGTGTTCAGCGGCTCCAGTGACCAGTCGGTCCATGCTCACAACATACATGTAAGCTGTGGTGAGAATGCTTCCTCAGTTCTCTTAATATTTAAATATGGCCCATTCTCTAGTAAAAAGGAGTAATAATAACCGTGCGTGTGTGTGGTGTGTGCGCTCTCTCTCTCTCTCTCTCTCTCTCTCTCTCTCTCGCTCATAATTCCAGACCACCTGGAAATCCTAACCTCATTAATCATAGAAAGACTAGGAGTTTATGGAAGGTTTCATTTGAATGCCTCCTTCAAACTTGAGGGCCGTGGCTCTCAGAGTGTTTGAAATAGAACTGATAAAAACAACTGAGAGGCTGCACTTAGCTCTTAGACACAGCACAGAAGCTGTTCCTGCTCTGCATATGGAGCCCAGTCCATCCTGACTTGTTCCTTGGGACCAGAGAAATGATAAAAGTGAGAATATAGCTTGACTATCATTTCTTATTTCAGACATATATTTGTATATTTCATTGCATATATAAAATAGATAGCTAGGGTATAAGTATAAAATTTGTCTTATACACATAGCCTGAAGATGTGTGTGTGTGTGTGTGTGTGTGTGTGTGTGTGTGTGTGTGTGTCTGAGTTTTGACTGTGACCTGACACATGGGGTGAGGTATAGAGTTTTTCACTTGCAATTGATGTTTGTGCTCTGAAGTTGTGACTTTTGGATCAGAGATACACTTCAGAAATAGAGGGTGAATGGCTTAGCAGGTAAAAGTGCTTACCACAAAACCCCATAAAGTAAGTTTCATCCTCTGAACCCACATGGTAGTTGAGAACCAACTCTCGAAGTTGTCCTCTGACCTCCCAACATTATTTTGTTTGTTTGTTGTTCAAGACAGGGTTTTACTGTATTGTTTTGGATCCTGTCCTGGAACTAGGCCTGTAGATCAGGCTGGCCTCGAACTCACAGAGATTGGGCTGCCTCTGCCTCCTGAGTGCTAGGATCAAAGGTGTGCACCACCGGCGCCCAGCGACCGCAAACATTTGTACCATGGCATGTGTGCTTACAAAATACACAAAATCAGCAAAAGTTAAAGTCAGAGGATATATGTAGTGTTTTCCATAGGTCACAGTACTGTGGGAGTGAGAACTTCAGCTATTAGCATTAGAATAGCTGTATTTGTTTACAGGGACCTCCAAATTTTCCCTTAGACCTTTATAATCATAAAATGTAGCTGGAACCCTAAGGCCTGTCTAGTGACTGTCCCTCCCTTTTGGTACAGACTGGTGAGCTTGTGCGCATTTATAAAGGTCACAATCACGCAGTGACTGTGGTGAATATCCTGGGGAAAGTAATGGTGACTGCTTGCCTGGACAAGTTTGTTCGAGTCTACGAATTGCAGGTAGGATTGGGCCTGTGTATTTTGCATGACTGCTTTGAGGAGATTGTCTGGCTGGGGTAAGGTCAGACCTTCAAACTACACTTTCAGAAACCTTCTAAAATGATTAGGAAGCAACCAGGCCAAAGATTGTGCTCAGAAACCACTGTGAGATATTTGCTCAGGCTCCCAGCTGCCAAAACTAGCATGATTTTTACTGCCTTCCTTTTCCTGTGGGTGGATGGTGTGAATAGGCAGACAGGGGTTGAGACAGGGCTGTGTAGCCCAGACTGGCTTCACACTTCCAGTGTAGCTGAGAATGTCTCTGAATTCCTGACTCTGCTGCCTTCACCTTCCAAGAGCTGGGTGCAAGTGTCACATTGACAAAACTCAAATGCTTTCTGGAAAGCATCCATGGCCTCTTAAAACCTGTCTGGTTCTCGCTGTGGCTTCAGCTTTGAGACTTGTAAAGACATTAGTGTCAAGTCCTCCGTTGACATAATTCTCTAACTTTTTTTCTTCTGCCTAAGTCCCATGATCGACTGCAAGTTTATGGAGGACACAAAGACATGATCATGTGTATGACCATCCATAAAAGTGTGGTGGGTATTGCTTATTTTGTCAGATGTTTGCCTTTGAATATGTTTATTTAAAACTCCACATGCTGATAGTAATGTGTCTACTTTTACTAGTGCAAAGTGACATCTTACCAACTTGATTATGATGTGCCCCATTACTGAATGCCTCACTTCTTGTCATAATAGTGGGAAGGAACCCAGCAACATTGTTGAGCATTCTGTTTCTATGAATAACTAAAATAAGTGCAGTAAAAATCTATTACCACTGTTAATGGAAGATGTAGATCAATGCTTTTGCAGACATGCTCTGAACAGGACACTAGGAACTAAGGGAGAAGATTTGGCTAATGTGTCATTGTTAAAGCCAACTCACCTAACCATGCATAACTAACTTCTTTCCTTTCTTATTTTTTAGACAGGGTTTCACTATGTAGTATTGGGAGGCCTAGAACTCACTATGTAAACCAGGCTGGCCCTGAGCTCAGTGAGATCGGCCTGCTTCTGCCTCCCTAGTGCTAGATTAAAGGTGCCACCACACCTGGCTCCCTGCTTAACTTAGAGGGCTTTATTTTTAATTCTGAGATTGGACTGCTGGGATGAATGTTTTCAAGATCTTGAGTAGTAAAACTTTTTTTTTTTTTTTTTTTTTTTTTGCAATAAATACAGACTTCCATTTAGTTAGCAGCACTGTCCCAGTCCAGAGTAAGTGGGAACCTTGGAGCCCTGTCATCTTGCTGTGAGTCAGGGCTCAAGGGTCTATGGGGCTCTGAACATTAAGGTCAAGAAATTACTATACCGCTTTGGTGTCTTAACCCAGGTTTTATATGAGGCTTATATGTTTCTTTATACTTCCATGAAGGGTGTTTTTATATTTGTTTCTTCGTGTGTATTTAGTCTCTAACCCTAAACCTCTTTCTCCAGATTTACACTGGTTGTTATGATGGAAGCATCCAAGCTGTGCGACTGAATCTGATGCAGAATTACCGCTGTTGGGTAAGCAGTAAGACCGTTGTCACTAGACTTGAGGGTTACTCGGTCCTGGGCTGGTGTATAGATCTTGGTGATTATAATTCCATGATGTGCTGATGGGCATTGTATGTATGGCAGAGAAGCTTCATTTGGAAGAATACACAGAATGCTTTTGACTTCTTTATTGAAAAGTCTCTCAGGTTAGATGTGAAATACATAAATAGTATCTTCTTACTTTGTCTCCTAGGTGTTGGTTTTGTTTTGTTATGTTTGCAGTACTGAGGGTCAAACCTCATGTGGAGGGTCCAGCACCCAGCTCCCAAATAAATCACACATGGAGACTTAATTATGATTGTCTGGCCTTAGCTAGGTTTGTTTCTTGCCAGCTTTTCGTAAATTATCCTGTCTACCTTTTACCTCGGGGCTTTTACCTTTCTTGCTCCTTCATCTCTGTTTTTATCCTTCTATTTATTCTCTTGTCAGCCCCTCCTATCCTTTCTCCTGGCTTGATATTAACCATTCAGCTCTTTATTAGAACAACCAGGTGTTTCAGACAGGCAGAGTAACACAGCTTCACAGAGTTAAACAAATGGAGCATAAAAGAATGCAAGACATCTCTTCATTACCAAAACAAATGTAACACATCTTAAGATAATATTATACAACACTTTATGGCTTGACTTACTACCTTGGTATTTTCTGGTGAATAGAAACACTTAAAATTTTAAAGTTATAGTTTTAACTTGGCCCACTGGGCTAATGTGTATTGGGGGTTGGGGGAGGACATGAAAGCTAATAATTAGCTCACAAAATTGGAGCACCGCCTTGTAAGCCCTGTTCTCAGTTGGGTCTAGGACTGGGAGTGACCAGTGAGAAGTTGGTGGCACTAGGGTTCTTTCCCCCAAACCCTGACTTTCTTATCAGAATTAATGGAATTTTGAATGTTTTTTCAAATTTTATTCTAGTTTTGTCTATAACCTGATTATTTTTCAGCTCTGGCATATATCAATGTCTTTGCTTCTTAGTCTTCTCAGGGGAAGTGATCAAAATAGAGGACTAGATCTGTAACACAAAGAAAATTGAAATAATCTCACTGGGGAAAAAAAAATAAAACTCAGATTTTCATTGCTATTTAGTAATAGACACCCCTAGAGGGAGAGGCTTGCAAGGTCCCTCCCTTCTCTGAGGATCTAACGGAGTAACTGGTTGCTAAGAGAAGAGATGCTTTCTTTGGTGTAGCCACTCTGCCTCATGGTGTTGTACAAATAACCTGTGGCTGGCACTTCTGTAAGCAACTTCATGAAGCTCATTAGGTCACTTTTGAGAAGGAGGGAGACTAAGAAATCAGCAGGATTCAAGGACTGGAGGGTGATGAGAGGGTGACCCAGGTACATTGTATGCATGTGCGAGAATAACAGAGTAAACCCACTATGCATAATTCATACATGCTAACTAGAACTTAAGTGAGCATCCTGGAATTGGCAGTCATAACGTTCATTACAAAGCTGCAGGTTTGGAAGCAAGTGCAAAGTCTGTGCTTTATGAGTAATACATGAGATTGAGCTACTTGTTTACAGAAGTTTTTGTTTTAAGAGGGTAAGTAAAAAGAATGTGATTTGAGTGATAGAAGTTGTGAGTTTTAAAAGTCAGACTTCCACAGCAGGTAGTTGTTTGCTTTGAGACAGGTCTCACGTAGTCCATACTAGTTGGGTTCCCACCCACTATTGTAGCCTAACTGGTCTTGAACTCCGGATCTTCCAGCTTCTGCCTCCCAAGTGCTGGAATTGCAGGTGTGTCCTTCTATCATTTTGTAGTTTAGTTTCATGGTTCTTAGAGTTGTTAAATACATCCTTTTCAGGGTTTTTGGAAAGCTGCTTGCCTTTGGCGGGGGACATGGATTACAAGTCTACAACGTGAGTTCCAAGACAGCCAGAAATAGAGCTGTTAAACAGAGAAACCCTGTCTCAAAAAACCGGAAGAAAAAGATTACAAAATAAATGTACAGATTTTATTTTATGATACAAGATAAAGGACTTGCTCCAGCTGGACACAGAGGGGCATCATTTCATCTCCCCACAGATAGCTAGAGTGTGAGTGCAAGGCCAGCCTGGTCTACCTAGCAAGTTAGGCCAGCCAGAGCTACATAGTGAAGGGGAAAAGGTGTTTGTGTGTGCACACATGTATGTGTTTTTACGTGCTTTTCTTCATGTACCTCCCCCCTCCTTTCTTACAGTGGCATGGCTGCACTCTGATATTTGGTGTTGTGGATCATCTAAAACAGCATCTGCTGACTGACCACACTAATCCGAACTTTCAGACACTGAAGTGTCGCTGGAAGAATTGTGATGCTTTTTTCACAGCTAGGAAAGGATCCAAGCAGGTATTTGTGGGATTGGATCAACCTGGGCTCAACAGATACCTTAGACAAGTGATTCTCAACCTTCCTCATGCTACAATCCTTTAATACAGTTCCTCATGTTGTGCAGACCCCAATCATAAAGTTATTTTTGTTGCTATTCATAACTGTAATTTTTCTACTGTTTCAAATCGTAATGTAAATATCTGATATGCAGGATATCTGATATGTGACTCTCTGAAAGGATTGTTCAATCCCCAAAGGGGCCTCGACCCACAGATTGAGAATCGTTGACTTAGTGCAAAGACCAGCAACCCCTGTTTGCTTTTTAAGGTGTTCGGGATTACAATAAATAGGGAGGGACTAGGAATTTTTCTTTTCATTACTCAGGAATTTGGGAATGAGTTAAACAAGACTTTCAAAAAAAATAATCGAGCTATTTTTAATAAAGAGCTGGATCAGAGTCTTTGTGTATGCTCTTGTGCAGAGGTGAGACATCCATAGTCTCTAAGTGGATAGTTCCCTGTTGGTTAGCAGGATAACCTAATGGATACACAGTCCAGTTCCATGTTCCTCGGCTTTAACTTGCTACTGCCCTGATGCCTGTTTGTTTCTAACAGGGCTCCCTTTTTTCCCTAGGACGTTGCAGGACATATTGAACGACATGCTGAAGATGACAGCAAAATGGATTCATGAAGTTTTTTTTTTGCCTCCCATGTTGGGAAGTCATTCATAAACTATTTTCACATTGGCCCCTCACACGGGCCACTCTGTCCTTCTCCAGTGAAGCTGGGAAGGAGAAAATGGTTCACAGCCAGATGTACCATTAGCAAATTCTGGGCAGTCTGTGGGATGATAGGTTACATGCAACTCAAGTCTGTGCTGGAGCGTGTAAGGGTGATATTTAAGCACATGCTAAGGAACCATACTCTTCTGGGAGAAATGACATACAGTGATTTATGCTACTAGACTATTGGTGTTTATTAAAGATTCAGATTTTAATTGGTTACCCAGTTTGACCCTAATCATACACATATTTTATTGATTCAGTTTGTGATTTCTGCTTTATGTTCTTATGATGGCTTATGATAGATTTTTCAGGATCAGTTTTAATTTCTCCTTTTGAAATAACTGGGTATTTAAATTTGAAGCAAATTTTTTAAAAATAATTATGTGCAGTGTTTCACTATTAAGTGCTCTGTAGATGAACAAAGCTGGCTGTAGGTGCTAAAGGAAACATAGTAGAGTCCCTAGAAACAGCCTGGCTGCTCTGCTTGCTGTATTTTAGAGTTCAGACAAGTTCCAGGACAGGAAGCGCTAAGACAGCATTTCCTAGGAAGTCACTCCAGAGTGCTCAGTGTGGCGGCTCCCTTCACTGCTGCACTCGCTGGAGGCGTGAACGGAAGGCCTGCTTCTGGCTCTCAGAGTCTCATGGAGCCTCAACGCCTTTCAGATTGCTCCATTGCCAGTCCCCACCTCTTACTGTCTTGCTGTGCCCAGAGCAGTAGCACAGGAGGCTCACAGGGTACTTTGAGCCCACCTGCAGCACAGCAACCTACGTCACATGCCTTAATAGGATTGCTTTGTGCTTGGATTTTCTCAAGACTTGTATGTAAAACTAAGTGTTCCTTTCTAATCTTTTGTTTCTGGGTTCTCAAAACTCAGTTCTTCAGAGGGAGAGGACCCTTTTGCCACATATTTATCCTAGCATTGGATGCGCTGCTTTCTGGCACTAGGATTGCAGCCTCTGTTTTTGTAACTGGCCAGATCACACTTCCCCATAGGCTCCAGGGCAGGGCAACTCTGCCAGGAATTCATAGATGGGCTGCAAGCTGGTCTGTGAATCCTCTGAAATTGCGTGGAAGACTATCCCCCCCCCCCCCCTCCAGGAATGGTTCCAGTAGTACTTGCTGGATCCAGAAAATGTTAAGAACAAATCTAGGAGCAAATACTAGCTCATGAGTGGCCCACAAATGAGTGGCTGTTCACATGTAGCCTATTGTGTGGAAAAATTTGTTGACCACATGGCTTAGATGTGAAGAGAACCATTGTGATGCTGAGATCTTATTGACAAAGCATATTTATGCTGTTCATGTATAAGATTAAAGTCCTTTCTACCTTTCACCTCCACTTCCTGTAAGGGTGACCAGAGGAGCCACACTTCGTTGTCTCTGGGAAGTGATTTATTAGGGAAGTTAGCTTGGGTTTATTGCTAAACCTGCATCATTCTCTGAGTTTCCACGTTGGCAGAGCAGTGTGCTGAGGAAGCTGGTTCCCTGTAGGGAAGGATGAGAGCAGCAGGGAGGAAAAATGCAAGGTGTTGACCAGTGGTGAAGATGCTTGAGAGTTTGAGGGCAGACAGTCCAGCAGGACTAGCAGGAACTGTGATCTGGGTTTCCCTTGGTAACGTTGTATGCACGTGTCTGCCTGCTCACCCTTGTGTGTGGGGGCACCTCCTCACTCACAGGGTTGCTTTGAAGCAGTATGATGAACTCAAGAACAGGCTCAGGTCACTGTTCTGCAGGTTGAGCTGTCTTGTGTTGCACTGAGAATGAAGAACTCTGAGTTCCTTGGCTCCTCAACAGTGGCTGCCCATAGAAGACAGAACTGTGGAATCTTCTTAAGCTATTCATTGTGTCTGTCATTCATGATCAGCCAGCCTCCAGTTCTCCTCAGAAGGGGCACCTTGGATATGTGCTGACTTTTGTTTGGTAATTTGATGAAGAAAGGAAAGTGACTTATGACCTGCCAAAATCCAAGACATTTCTTATGAGTACTTGCAGGTCATTTTTAATGGTTTTAAATTTTTTTATGCCTAGTCCAGCTGCTCAAAGCAAAGAAAATCCTTAAAAAATCCTTTTGTGTTTACAGTAACTATTTTAATAAAATACCACACTTTCAGTTTTTTGGGTTTTTTGTTTTTGTTTTTAATTTTCAAAACACATTTTGGCATACTCTGCTCAACTGTAAACAATACAAATAAAGAAAAGAGCAAAAATGTCATCCTGACATTACTTAAGTTTGAGAAGTCGTTATTAGCATTACATTTGTTGCTTTTGTGAAGAAAATGTTTAATTCTGGAGAGTTAGCGATTAAAAATTCAAATTCCTGAACTACATAAAATCCACACCAATACTTTTATGATTGAAGTGATTGTTGCCAACAAAGGTTTTGGGTTTGTTTTTGCTTGTTTGTTTGTTTGTTTGTTTGTTTTATGGTAGAGTTATGGGACAGTTTCAATGCATGACATATGGCTTAGTTGCTGGGTGTAAGTGTACACTTACAAGAATGACACTATTATGTTATGGAAGATAATTGGGAAGGAAACTGAAGTTTATTGTGAAGTAAGATTTGAAGAACACCTGCTTGTGGTTTTGGTTAAATAGCTGCGATTTGCATATGCTTACTTAGCAAATTTGTTCCTGTTGCTTCGAGGAGAGTTCTAGAATTACTGTAAGGCTGTACTTGTCACACTTCAGGGAGGTTTCATCCCTGTCCTGTCATTGAGAACCTTGGGTTTGAGGGAGACGATAGGTAGGAAAGGAGGAAACTGCAGTGGGCTTGCATTGGGTCACACTCTTCACATGCAGATGTGTGTGAAATCTTGTAATTAACCCACCACTTAACCTCCAACCCCAAGGGGACATGGCCCAGAAGTATCCCAGTGCTGGCAGAGCAGAGGGTGGAGAAGGAGAGGCTGTGGCAGGTAGTGGATGCCCAGAGCTGCCCAGCACCTTGGTTTCTTACTGTATTTCAAAATTAAATAAAACAGCCTTCTTACATTTTGGTATAAAAGCTGTGAACTTCATAACTTTGTAAGCGATATATAAAGCTAATACAAGAAGAAAATAAAGTACTTTTACTAAGTGTTCATTTTGTTATTTTGTGTCTTCGTGATTAGCCTTTCCATTTTGACATAAAGAACAAGTCAGTGGGCAGGAAGCATGGTGCTTGTATATGTGCCTCGGACACACACAAGGTCCAGATTAAACTTAAGAGTCAGGGATTATTTTAATGTCAGACAGGCCAGTGAGCAGAGGAGCTAGAATTGGGGGTGGGGGATCACCTCTCCTGCATTGCCCTGTAGTAACTGCTCATCCTGTTACCCATTTATTTGACTTAGAATGTGTTCATTTCATGATTTCATACATAAAATGTACTTTATCATCCCCCACTTCTGGTTCATCTTCTGTTGTCCATATGTATTCACACCAGCGATCTTGGAAAAGTCGGAGTGGTCCCTGTGCTCAAACACTAGCAGTGGTGGGACTGGAGGGATGGCTCCTGTTAAGAGCACTGGCTGCTCTTCCAGAGGACCTGAGTTCAGTTCCCAGTACCCCCATGGCTCTCACAACCATCTCTAGCTCCCAGCTCTAGGGAATCTGATGGCTCTTCTGCCTTCCACAGGCACCAGGCATACATGAGATGCTCAGACATAAATGTAGGCAAAACACACATAAAACAAGATTACAAATAATTAAAAGGGCAGTAGGCATGATCTCAGCAGAACTCAAGCCTTTGACTATATGTATTTCCCATTTATCCTGAAATGAGAGCTTTCTCCCATTAGTATAGTTTCTCCAGACCCAGCCATTCTAATACCTGACAGGATCAGGTATATCCATAGACTAAGCTGGGCTTTCTTTTGTGTTGTGTACATGTGTGGAGGTCAGATGAACTTCTAGTATTTTCCTCTATCTCCCTTTTGTGTGTGTATGGTGTGTGCATGCTTGTGGAGGCTGGTTAATAATATCTTCCTTGATCACTCTCCACTGTTGATATTGAAGCCCAGGTTTCTCACTTTAACCCAGAGCTAATCCAGCGTTTGTGCCAAGGACCCCCCCCCCTTTTTTTTTAATCTCCCTTGGGATGCGATTACAGGTGGATGATCACTCCAACAGGCTTTTGCATTTATGTGGTTGCGTGAGATCCAAACTCAGGGCATTTTTACCCAGTGAGCCATTGCCCCAAGTGTTTGAGACAGGCTCTCACCAAACATTGTCCCTTTGGCTTACTGGCTGGCCAGCAAGCCTATAGAGTCCCTTGCTCTCTTTGCTCTCCAGTACTGGAGTTACAGGTGTGAGCTGCCAGGCTTGCTTTCATAGCCCTGTACCTACTGAACCATCTCCCTAACCCCAAACTCGGTCTTTCTGGAGGTGATATATGAAAGTACGGCAGTTGTGCTGTGGCTGAGAAATGTTAAAGAAAACAGTGGAACCAGCCATATGTGTGCCTTTATTTAGCTGTTTTACAGAACGCGGCCACATTTTTTTTTTTTTTTTTTAATCAGAAAACCCAAAGTATCATCCCTGTTTACCCCAGAGTAAACCCATCCTGAAACTGACAGAAGTGAGTGCAGACTTTGTGACTGGGTTCTTGTATGAGTGAGTACTACTGGCAGATCCTGTGGGCAGCCCAGTGCAAGCTAAGTGTGCAGGTCAGAATCAGCTACACCTAGCTGGGACAGACACTAGCCTTCAGGTGGCAAAGAGCTCTCCCAAGCATCAGGTTTGGGGCAATGTGGAGAAGCAGCAAGACCAGAAGCCCCCTAGACTTAGTGGAGGTAGGGCTACGGGGTTCTTTGTGGTCGATGGCTCTAGCTGTGTTGGAATCCTGGTTGACTGTACATGAGGCTTGCCTCCTTCAGGCATACATGGTAAGCTGCAGCCACTGAAAAATGAAGCCCCAGGTCAGTACAAAAGCAAGCAAAGAGGCCCGTCTATTCTAGAATCTCTTGCATTGGAAAGGGGACAGGTTCTTAAAAGGAGAAGCCTGCTCCTTTTCCTGGGCCTTCTAGGAAGGCGCTTCCTGGCAGTGCAACTTGGGGATGGGGGAGCAAAAGCTCTCACGGTACACACACCCCAGGAACCACAGTCTTCATTAGGCTTCCTTCCAAGTTCCTGTCCTTGGAGTGATGAACACACTGGGGCCAGTCTGCTAGGTTCTATGGTGCCAGGGACGTTCTGTTTGCTGTGCTTACCTCAAGAACATTCAGTTTGATGATGCCATCTCCATCCTTGTCAAATGCGTTAAAAGCTCCTGTGTGAAAGAAAGCATAGACCAAAAGCCAGTCACTACCTCCGCCATGATCATTTGCCCTCTCCTTTTTAATCTCCCCCACCCCCGCCCCTTAGGGTTTTGGCTTAGTCTGCTTGTGTTTGCTTTTAAATAATTCATTCTTGTGTGTGCATGTGGGGACATATGACAAAACACGTGTAGAGGTTGGAGGGCAACTCTAAGATTGGTTCTTTCCTTCCACCTTACAGGTTTCAGCCATAGAACGCAGGTCTCCAGACACATGGCAGCTGAGTTCATCTTGCCTGCCTTTGTTGTGTTATTGAACCAAGGTCTATCCATGGAGCCTTGAATTCATAATCCTGCCTCTACTGCCTGCTGGATCACAAGTGAGCATTATCTAAGTGCTCAGATCTGTAATTTAGGAAGCCCCTGTGCCCACTGCTGTCCTTCCACAAGAATCCCTGCAGAACCTAACCAGCATCTCCCCTTGTCATCCATCTCTTCTTGGCCTGTTGACTGATAGGAGTTAGGACTGACATGCAGCCTCTGGAGGAGATGGGGCAGTTGTCAGATCAGTTACTGCCATAGCTGTACCATGGGAAAAGGGAGTGAGAAAGCTGAAGGTAGCCCCTCACTCACTGTGGTGATCTGGATGGAAATGTCCCCCATTGGCCTAAAGGGGTTGGCACTATTAGGAGGTGTGGCCTTGGAAGAGGGATTTAAGGCTTTAAGGTTTCAGATGTGCAAGCCAGGTCCAGTATCACTCTCTCTTCCTGCTACCTACTGATCCTGATACCGAACCCCCAGCTACCTCTCCAGCACCATGCCTGCCTGCATGCCACCATGATTCCTGCCATGATGATAATAGACTAAACTGTGAGTCCCAATTAAGTGTTTCCTTAAAATAGTTGTCATGGTCATGGTGTCTCTTCACATGAACAACAGCAACAGAAGCCCTAAGACACTTACTGAACATCCCTTCCAGCCTGACGAAGCAGCAAATGAAACTGTCAAAGTCGATGTTCATGTGTTTGTCTGCGTAGCGCATGGTGATGATGTCATAGAGTTGGCTGTTGAGGTGGAAGCCTTGGAAGGGCAGGGAGAGGAAAGGGGAGTGAAGTTCTCAGTGAAGTTCCCTGCTTCTTGGCCACACTAGCCTGGGAAAGGAGAATCTCCCCGCTTTCTCTAGCAGGGCCCTAGTCATCTGCTCCTGCTCTCCCCAGCTCTCAGGTTTTTTTATTATTACCCTCACCTCCCCCCATGCCCCAGCACCTGCATCATTGACTGCATTCCGCATCTCATAGCTATTGATGGTGCCAGAATGATCTGTGTCATAGCGTTTGAAGATTTTCTGAAAATAGAACATTCAAAGATAGCAGTTACACACTTAATCCCAAGTTAACCCTGGCTATCACTCACACATTACTCTCATCCTACCTGCCAGGCCTTGATCTTTTTCCAGAGGTGATGGAACTCTTGCAGATTCAGCCGTCCAGAGCCATCTGTCTGGAGGATGGATGTCAGGACCACAGGCACTTAGTAAGATCTCCCTAAACTGAGAAGGGTATCTAGGGTACTATGCTGGGAAGGCAGAGCAACCAGCGTGATCTACTGAGGCTCCTGATCTCCTCCACTCTTAACCACCCAGAGTTCCTGCCATCTCTATAACCCATAGAGCCTGTTCCCCCAAGACTAATCCTTGTTTGGGCAGCATCCCAAGCAGAATTTCAGGCCTGTGGTAAGACAGGAGGTGATAACCAGCCAAAATAGGGTATCTTTCCAAAGCAACCCCTGCCAGGATCCCATAAGCCTTTCCCTGGGCATGGGCACCCCTAATTGTTCCCCTGATTCTATGGGCAGATATAAGAGGACTGGGGATGGTGGCAGGAAGGATACATCCATGAGAGCTATCATGCTTCGGCAAGACTCCAGTGTGAACCCCTGTGTCTTCAAGTCCTTGTCTGGGGGGATGGAGAAGGGTGAGGAGCTGCTTTCAGACAGCTGTGGCCCATGCCCATCCCCCTCATCTGGAGTCAGTTGCTCACGTTTGTTCACCACCGTGTTAAGTACATTCTTGAGTTCATCTGCACAGATCTCCATGTCCTAAGGGAGAGAAGAACTGTGAAGGGCAGAGCAACCAGTGGACAAGTCCCAGCTATCCCCATTTGTCACATCCCCTTTCTTCTGCCATGGGAAGCTGGGGCTTTTCTGAGCAAGACAGGCCAGTTTCTGTACCCTCAGCTGTCCAACACAGCCAGAAGGCTGTGAGCCACCAATGGTTGTGTTAGTCCCGAACCCAAAGGCATAAGTTTCTGTGATGTGACACATGTCCTCTGGTTCTCCCAAACCAAAATGACCTCTGCTGGACAGTGAGTCTCTTGAGTTGGGAGCCCTGGGCTAGGAGGGAAAGAAACACGTACATCGCCTGCGATCTGCCTGAAGATATTCCGGAACTGTTGCTGCTCTTCAGTCTCCTGGTCTGTGTGGCCAGGCCGTGCCTGTTGGGACACAAAGGAGACTGGTTCATGGGAACCCAGGCCTCAATCCCATACTGCCCCACAAAGCGACACGAGCTGGCACAGGCTTGTGTTCTCTGTCTACCCGCTGAGCCTGAGTGGGGATCCTCAATGTTCAGCAGCCTTGGCACCTCGGGTCACAGGACACAGGTGCCATGGCAACATGCAGACAGCATCCTCGACCTTCTACCTACTCTCCTCCAGATAGAACTTTCCCTAGTGTTTTGAGCCTGACTGTTCTAACTAGGTCCTCTAGCCACCTCTGTCTCTGTGGCCAAGTCCTTTAAGGACCCTCTCCCCAGTCCACTATGTTAGTACTCCTGGGTAGAGTTCATGG